GGCCAAATATATTGCCACATAACAACTGGAGGATGGCTAATGGGTTAAATGAGTGGTGCTGAGTCAGCGCAGTATGAGTTCAGAGAAGCCTGTGAGTGAGTGCTCAAGTCATTGTCAAGGCATCATAAACGTGTAATCACAAGTATTTGTGAAACACTAGGAAGGTTACAGAGTAAATAACGCAGAGCTCCAGCCTCCCTGTGAGCTTATAAGATTCACACTTATAAATTATAAATTGACTATAATAAGGGATTTATTGGTAACACTAGTTGGGGGCTTTTAAAGAGGAGCCCCTGGAGCGGTCTGGTACTCAGAAAAGGGACTCCAAGGGATGAATTCTCCGAGGATAAAAGGTGCTGTCTCTTCCTCGAGATTCCAAGTTCACTTTATTGTACCACCATTCTTGCCGCTTTGTTGTCAGTGATACCTAAGTGTTCAGTATACTTGCCAAATATTTTAATGATGCATTTGGAGAAGCACACCCTTAACATAACTGACATCCTTTTTATTAATGAAAATATTTGTGGTAAATCCGAAAAATTGGGATTTTTCCGGGGATCATGGCAAAGAGTTTTCTACTGAATACATCTTTAAATCCTTTGGACCAAAGTCAAGGAACTCATCTTGTTATTCAGCAAGAGCCCTGACTAGATTAAGCAAGAAAAACTAACTGGGGCCACCTGGCAAGGGGGCTGTGGCCTTAACAGACAATTCAGAGTTTCATGGCTTCCTTTCAGATCTCAGAGGTTCAGCATTTATGGAATTGGAGCAAAGGTAAAAGCATCATTAAAATTATTTATGAATTAACAATGATGGCAGTTTAACTGAGCAAATTATTCAAAAGCTATTACTTAATCATTCACAGACATCTAAGGCATGGCTCCCGTCTAAAACAGGGTTACACTGCTTTCCCCATAGACTGATTCCTTTCAAGTCCTGGGTAGGTCAAGGGTTCTTAACAAGTTCCCCAACGGTGGGAAGTTAAGGCGGGAAAACGCTGACATTCATTTTTCTCTTTCCCTAACGAAACTGAAAGTTTCATATCAGCATATTTCATTAAGACACCAAACAGATTCAAAGAATGTGCTATGTTTCCAGATCTATTACAGCTGCCATTCCAAACAAAATATGTCTGACTCTACGATTCACTAGGCACAAGTATGTAGTAATCTGCCCTTTAATGGCCTCTCAAGATGACAGACCAAATGGCTTTGTGAAGGTCAAGTCTGATTTAAATTGTTGATGAATTAGTCGCTAATTCTGCATGATTGAATATTAATATGGAACTGTGATAAGTAAAGCACTGTAAAGCTTAATGAGCACGTTAATGAGGACAAAATGTTGTGTTTTTCACCTCATGTAGAAGTTTTAAAGCTACTAACATATCGACAATTTGTTAATGTTGCCAGCTGTTTTGTTTTTTTTTTTCCTGTGAAAGTATATATGGGAAAAAGTATTAAGGGTATTGATTTGATTCCTAAGCTCCTGGTGCCACAGATTTGAGGAGCTGTCAAAATTGATGTTATCCAACGGCCAGAGCCGTTTTATATAAATCACTAATAAATGGAGAGGGTAAGAAAAAAGCAATTAACATCTTCTCAGCTACACCCACTGAGATAAGCATTCCAATTAGAAATTTCATTATTTCTACAGTTTGTTTTATGTTGAATACTGAGTTTTATTGCCAAATACCTGACAGTCAAATTGGAAACAAGCCACAACTGTCAACGTGTGGCAGCTCCGGCTATTTGAATCTGTTACATTGTGATGGTCCTCATGAAAGTTTAATGAAGAAAGTGCATTCAAAGAGGTTCTGTGCGGAAGGGGGGACGGCCAGAATTTAATTACCCTTATTAAAAATAAGAAAGGAGCGCTCTTTACATTCTCTGTCCCATTAGTATGCGAGAAAGATCATCCGTGTTGTGTGCTCCTGTGTCTGGAAAGGGGACTCTGGAGTGCTCTTTATGAGCCAAGAGGGGAAAGAAAGGTCATGCAAATGGATTCGACTGCTTTCAGGAGGGCACAAGTCAATTCTGTCAGCTACCCCCAAGGTGAGGACTTCATTTCTTATAAATGGTTATTAAATCTAGATTTCTTTGGTAAGCGCCTTTACTGAGTGTCTCAGGAACCTTAAGGCATTGACATTTGCCGCTGATCCACACTCAGTATTGGCTCACAGAGATGCATTCATAGAAGAAAAGTAAGGACTAGCAGAGCGGTATTTATACATGCAAATGGAACTAGGTAGTTCAACGCCAGGGGGAGGATCCAGTTCCCCGGAAAGTACAGAAACCACGGAGGAATCCCACCATGATTCCTTATTAAACAAAGTTGGTTGCTTTAAAAATGAAACGTAACAACAACAAAAAAATCTAAGAGCTTTTTCAGAAACTCATTTCTGGATGATGAAAGCAAGCAATATAGTTGACTTTGGAGAACTTGGGGTAAATTATTTTTATGATGCTTTGAATCATTTTGTGTGAGTAACTGCCAAGTGAGCTACTTAATGATAGGATGTGTGTGGTGGAGTCGCTGTTGATCATTCTGCTGCCTCCACCCCAGACAACATTGCACCACAGTGTGGATGGGAAGATACTGGCAGAACCTTTCAAGACAAAGGCTAGCCTGACGCAATTCAGGTGGAATTGTCTCAGATCCTTGAAAAATCCCCCCAGAATTCCATTTTAAGTGTCGTTCCTGGCCCTTGTCTACCTTAGTCCCCTGCTTGTGGCTGCTAGGTAAGCATCCAGATACACAGGACGGACGGCTGCTTCCTCACCTTGAGGAATATGTGGTTCATGGCCGTGAACTATTTCCGTGTATTGTTTAGACCCTGCCATGACCACCTGGTCTGATGGGAGATAACTCTGTAGTGAAGCCAGGTATAAAGTCACACTTGCCACAGCTTCTTTTCTTCTGTCACAGGCCGTTAATACCCTCTGTCCTGCCCAGTGGAAGAGCCAGAGTCTAGACTTTTCTTTTTAGCACCTCGGTTATCTCCTGAATTAAGGAGACCTGTTCATTGAACTTTCTCTTTCTCGGGAGCTCAGTAGTCTCCTGACGTTCCTTGTACATTCACATTCAAAATCTCTCCAGTCTTTAATTCCAGTCCTCTGATTACCATTCTACCTGAAGTTCTGTGCAGTAGGAAAAACATAATTATACTCATTAGGATATATTCATAGTCAGGCTTGGGAATCACTGGAGTTTCTCTTAAAATCTGGAAATCTAGGCTAGCATGAGGGCAAGGGATTTGAATGCAACTGCTAGGGGTAACACAGTGAATTTAGGTACCTACTGCTATGGTAGCTCTGAGGAGGAAAATATTAAATATATCTGAGGGAATTTGGAAAAGCTTTACCAAGAAGGTGATTTAGACTGAGTGGCTTCCTAGAGGCACAGAGTCCTCAACAGACCTGATTTGCTGGGGAATCATGAGAATTTCAGCGTGGGCAGAAGAAAAGTTTCTTATGAGAAGAAAAGCGATCCTTAAGAGGCTGAGAAAAATGTGATGTCTTTTAAAAGGATTACTTTACCAGGCAGGTTCAGGAGATGGATTTTACCACATAGGCTACAGAGAAGGTGAAGAACACAGAGGGTTTCCTGCTAGCATGGAGGACGAATCACGATGGAACGTCTTTACTAGGGATTGTAACTTAACACCATTGAGATTCAGGATCTACTGTGGATTTTGGGTTCACTCTGGGTTTGTAGGGGGGAGGGGCACCCAGAGAGAAGCCAGATGCTGCATTTGAAGATTTCTAATACGTCACTCACTGATCTTTTTGCTTTTGAGTCGTTCTAGAATTAAGGGCTAATGAAAGTTTATCAGTGGCCATGAAGGAGTGTTGATTAAATTACCACTAGACACAGCCCCCAACTGAAAGTCAAATGTTTCATAATAAATCTTCAAATACAAGGTCACATTATAATTTGGGTAATTATCACCCATCTAACCAAAACTCCTTCAGTGATTGGGTAGAGCACACCTTTCTAATCCTGGTCAGAAAGGCTGGCAATGTTAGCTACAAGGGGACATGATTGGGGATTAAAGCAGATTTCAATACCTCAAGAGTGGCATCTGGAACAATTAAGTATGGGAGGGGAGAATTGAACTCTGGAAGAGCTGGAGATCCAAAATTAGCAACTTGAACTTTCTTGCTACTGAAAATGGTGTAGACCTTTGGGATGGAGGTGAGCACAGCCTCACCCTGAGGAACATACACTTTGTGTCATGACTGGGGGGCTGCTTTTGCCCTCCTTTCGTAAAGCGTTCTCAGACAATTTAATGGTAAATTAAACTCCCTGCAAGAGAATTCTTCCAGCTCAAACCTTTCATCTCTGTGAAAAAATAGAGAGGAGAGTGGTAAGAAAAGCGTGCCAGCCCTGGAAGCAGATAGCTCCACCCTGCTCGGGTCGTTGCCTGGGGGCTCTTGAAACCAGCCCCGCTGCTTTCCCTTCAGAGAAAGCTTTCCTGACTCAGTGCTCTGATTGAGACAGTCCCATGTTTACAAAATCCCTTTCCTTTTTGCAGTTTGGTCAACTCTACTCATTCCTAAAGGCCCATTTCAAATATGGGGCTACCTTTTGATCCTTATTGACCTGCTCAGGCACAGAGAAGGTTTTTTTTTTTTTGGCCAGGGCTGGGTTTGAACCCGCCACCTCCGGCATATGGGGCTGGCGCCCTACCCCTTTGAGCCACAGGCACCACCCACAGATAAGTTTTTTAATCTGTGCTCTTAGAGAGTCCGCTGAATTCCCTCCTCATAGCCTGTATCAACCCAGTCTGACTCCAGGTTAGTGTGATGGCTCCTGCAGAGACTCTTCACCCTCTGGTGGGGAGCAACATCTTCACTGTATCCTTGTCTGATGCTGCCTGGTTGATGTTAGGGTTTCAGCCCATGCTGACTGAGGGAAAGGGAGACATTTCCAGGCAAATCCCTTGCATTGGGGCCATCTGACTTGTTAACATAATGGTTGTGTCATCTTTTGTCTTACAGAGGATCAGATTCCCAGGGGCTTCCCTACCATTGACATGGGCCCACAGTTGAAGGTGGTCGAGCGTACACGCACGGCCACCATGCTTTGTGCAGCCAGCGGTAATCCAGATCCAGAAATCACGTGGTTTAAAGATTTCTTACCGGTGGACACGAGCAACAACAACGGTCGTATTAAGCAGTTAAGATCAGGTAGGGTCTTGTTACTGTTTCTACTAACTTCTAGAAGTTTCTTTTTTTAGATCCTCCTCTCTTTATTTTTTATTTTTATTTTATTTATTTTTAATTTTTAGGTATTGATTTTTCTCCCTCTTCTCTTTCTCTGTTACTTACTGTGTTGTCCATGTCCGTGACGTCATAGCCTGTTTCAGAGTCTGTTTTCCTCCTCCTCTCTGTGTGTGTTTTGCAGCTTCTGTTTAATCCACATTGCTCACTGCTGTGACTGTATTTTTGGTAATTTTTTAATTTACTGCCTTTCCGCAGTATTTGATGGATCCATTTTCTCCTCTTTCTTTCTTCTTTCTCTGCTTTCTTTTGAAACAAATTTATTTCAACATTGGACTTCATTCAGAACTTGCAAGGAGTTCCAATGGTTTTATCCATTAAAAACAAAATGTTCCTATTATACACTTAAATGATTCAATTTTATGCAAGTGTGTTTTCTGCTGTCTTTTCTACATTTGAACTCATCAAAATATCAAAGCTTAGTAAGTTTGGACACATCTGCTTTCTTTTCACTAATACATAAAACACAGAAATGTTATCTCATGAGTGACCAAGATGTATTTTTGAAAAAGTCCTTTGCAAAGTACCAATGAAAGGAGGGGATTTTTATTACTAATAATATGATTATGAGATCATTGAGAGTGATCATTTTCTACACCTTAGCCACAGTAGTGTGCGCCCACGCTAAAGGTTTTTGAACCCTCCGGTGCCTGGATCTACAGAAGTCTGCTTTGGGTGTAGACTCCAGCTTTCACTGTTTTCTCTCTCTCTTTACCCCGTTCCCCTTCCCCACCCCAATTCCAAGTTATTCCTTTGCTCTTTTTAGATTAAAAGTAGAGATGATTCTAAATTTCTTAAGTCTTACAGCCTGTCCCTATGTAATTTCCCGGGGACGTATACTAATAATCGGTTTACATTGGTAGTAATATTGATATAGAATTCTAAGTTGTTTAACTGCCTGTCTTCCCAGAATTCTCAGCTTTTGACCTGTCCTGTGATGTTAAAGCGTCTTGTTAACTGCCTCTTTTGCTTGTTGTCAGCAGAACTGTATAAACTAGCATTTTGTTATTGTAAATAAAGAATTAATTATTCACCTGTAACATAGATGATTTAGTATATAAAGCTTTAACTCTGAAAAATTTGTACCAAATTTATAAGGAATATAATAATATTTTTATGCTGTCTTTCTTCTCTCCGTATTTAAATCTCCAGAATCTATTGGTAAGTGCTTAGTTCTGAAGCGCACTTCACCCCCACTAATTTCCATATTCAGAATATTATTATTATTATTAATAAAATGCATGGCATGCATTTTACTAACTGTCAGTGTAGACACGAGATCTCCATAGTGGCGCGCACACGCACACCTCCACAGAACTGTTATTGTAAGAACACTGTGTAGAAAAATAAAATAGTACACCAGTTTTATCACACAAATGTAGCATAGTACATAAGTAGCATAAGCTAGCCAATCAGCAGTGTTTGTTTCTAATTAGTCTTTAGTATTTCCTATAACAGTATATATATATATATATACACATATTTATATATATACTTAAATAGATTAGCTTTGTAGTTTCTTAAACTGTCTCTAAAATATATTGTATAGTTCTTTATTTTTTTTGAAGGGATATGAGGCATATATGATAGAATTCTAACCCAGTATCACCCCAGACCTGAGAACTCAGTTGCTTCTCTGAGGAAGGCAATGCTGCCTACTGTGGTCTTTGCCCTCTGTGGTATAATGCAACTTGCTTTATGATCTAATAATACTATCTAATATATTCCTGTTTTACCAGTGTAGTAATTCAAGTTTCTTTTAAGACCTTATTTAATTCTGTAAATCTAATTTAATTCTTCTCCCCAGCCCTAGCCTCCTTCTTCTCGTACTAATGCTTCTTCTTTCTAATCTTATTTGCATTCATATTATCCACCCAGGTGGTACACCAATAAGAGGTAAGAGTGCTGAACTAACGTTCACAGAATGATCTTACTCATTCTCTCTGTCCTTTCATCCCTCTCATCTTTGTCCTGTTTTCAGAATCATTTCAATGATGTCCATCAACTTTATTTTTTCTCCCCCCTTTGTACTGTTTGGTTATGATCTGTGACTCTCATATTGTGAACTTTCCCTTTTCTTTTTCCTTTTTCTCTTTGTTTTGTTCATTTCTTTCTTTATGAAAATGATTATTTCAGTTGTGATATGCTTCAAAGAAAGCATATCCCGGTCTTCCGACCACAGACCAGTCACAGCGTACCATCTGTCCCTCTTTTTTTTTTTTTTCTTTTCTTCTTCCTTTTTCCTTTTTCTCTTTTTTTTTCTTTTTTCTTCTTTTTCCTTTTTTTTTGTCCAACCGGAGAAAAAAAAAGATCATTTTTTTTCTTCCTTAGCTGTTCTTGTTCTGGACCAAAGCCAAGGTGGTCTGGAGAACAGTGCCAGACATGCAGAAGGCAGCCTGGAACATCGGCTTTTTGTCTTTATCTTTCAAAAGGTTTTTGCTTTTGTTCTTCGGTTCTTTTTGCTCTGAATGTCTGAAAAGTCAAAGAATGACTCCCCTTTCCACCTGATCCCACTCGCCTACAGTCTGACCGCGATGCTTTTTTCCCCACTTCTTTTTTTCTTGGATTACTCATCTCTGGATTTTTGGATCTTCTGTCCTTCAGGCTATGGAAACAAATGGTGCTCAGCATTCTTGGTGGTATGTGGTATTGCCGGTTTTTCATACTTTGACTCAGTGTGTATTTCTTTTGTAATTCTTGTTTTGTATTTTTCTTGGGGTTTTGTGACACCACACTGCTAATCCCACTGGTGGATTTTGATGGGTGTCTTAGGGGATCCGTCTCGAGGTCCTCGAGCAGTGGTTGGTCGGCTCTTCCTGTGGCACAGGCTGTGCTTTTGAACTTTTTCAGAAAATCTTCTAATTCAACTGCTCTTTGTTTTTCAGCAAACGTTAATCAATGATTGTAAGTCGTGGCAAACTGTCTTTCTTTTCATAAAAACCTGCATGTCTTAAGGGAGTCTTGTTTCTTTAACTGATATTTTGATAACTGATAATGACTAATTTTAATTTTTCACTTTGTGCAGCTTCTTTTTTTTTGTGCTTGCTGCGTATTTTTGGCTTTCTTCCACAGAAGACTTTCTTGAAAACCCAGCCTGGGTTTTTTTGAGCCTCTACCTATCTTTTGCGCCACTTTTGGTACCAAAATGAAACAAAACAAAACCGAAAATTAATCTTTTGTTTTATTTAAAAGCCATACTTCCTTGAAGCAGTCTCACCCATCTTCATTTAATTAGTCTAGGAGAAAGAGTGTTAATTATGACTAGAAATGTTGCTTGGGAAAAGAGATATTGGTTCCGTATGCTAGCATTGATGATGATTAAAAAAATAATCTCTGTGTGTTTCTCCCATCGCATCATTTTCTGTCTGTGCACCTTAGCGGGAGATTGAATCGGCGTTGAGCGGACCTTCGCTTTGCGGGGCTTCTCATGTTGTTAAGAGGTTTAGTTTTCGGAAGTGAGAAAGCCTCCTCTGACCTTTTTCTTTGGCAATATATTTTATATCCATACAGGAGCCCTTCAGATCGAACAGAGTGAAGAATCTGACCAAGGAAAATATGAGTGTGTTGCCACCAACAGCGCGGGCACTCGCTATTCGGCCCCTGCCAATTTATATGTCAGAGGTAGGAGTGATACAATCCCAGCATCGCTTCTTCTCTTAGGCTCAGGGGGAGCTGAGACACCCGTGGGGTCCGCGTTGTTAGGTTAGCAGTTACCAAGCCCATTTGGTAATAGCTGGAGTATTGTAGGAAAGAGAGAAATAAAAGTGTATGTTGTTTTTCTTGAAAAAAAAAAAAAAAAGACAACTCTTGAATCTAATCTATCCCGAGGCTTGAAGTTTGTAAGTATCTTTGCATTTTGACACCTTGATTTCTAATTTTACTGCATTGGTTGAACTGTGTGCTTTGCATTTGTTTGAGGTTTTCTTCTTTTTCTCCCTCTTTTTTTTTTTTTTTTTCTGTTGTTTCTCTTCTGTTTCCTGATCAAACCTTGAAATGATTGCTTGGTGTGCTACTAATCAGTTCTCTGTGCAACTCCAAGCATAAAGTGTTTTCGTCCTCACGACCTCTGCTGCTAACTACAGCAAACTGGTGCTACCTGCAAGTAGCACGCTGTATTTTCTTCCTTCTCCCTATACTTTCTTAATTATACACATGCAGTATTTATATGTGCACCTGTAGAGACGTTTATTTAAATTATTAAGATTTATACTGAAAAGCTTAATTTTTTTCCAGTGCCAGGGAACACTGATTGTATTTTGAAATATACCATTCACCGTCCTTGGGACAAGAAGGATTTATGAAGATGCATTCCTGTTTTCTCATAAAATAATAGAAATGATTAAACTTCGAGCTTATGTATATCTGTGCCTTTCTCTAGACAGGAAGACTTCCTCTTCCCTAGAGTTCTCCAAGCCAGTTCCTATAGTTTTTTGTCCAAAGGAAATGTTCTTATTCCTGGTCTCCATGTCTATGAATAACCACAGAAGGCTTGGGCGGGGGTGGGAAGAGAGAGAAGCCTGAAAGGCTTGAAGTTACATTAGGATGGGTTCCCTTAAGAAAATATCTAGCTTGATTTTGAAATTTTTGTAAGAGATAATTTTGTTTCCCTGGGGGTGTTTTTCTCTCCTTTCTTTCTGTGGAATATGGGGTGGGGGGGACGCGAAGAAAACCATTTCTTCTCTAAATTCTCTGAGAGCCCTTTGCCCCCCTTTCTCACAATGGTGACCCCCTTTGTTGCATGAGGCATGTGTACCTCCTTCCATGGAAAATTTCAAAATGATGCTAGCTATTCCTTCTACTACTGTGTTAGTCCGCGAGGTATTGCTAACCTTTGTAGCCGAGGTAGGAAAGATGAACTAGAGCGAATAAAGATGTTGGAGTAGCAGTTGACAGCCTTGATATGGCCTTTTTACTCTCTCTGTGTTTCCCTTGTTTTTCTCCTTTCCTCATTTCATTGTGTTCTGCATCAAACCCCCTACATCCCTCAGAGCTGCGAGAAGGTTGGTGTGTTTTTTACTTTTTACCCACCTTACAAAACTATTAATTAAACCAATAACAAAGAATACAAATGAAATGAATGTAGCTGCATTGTGGTCTTCTTTTGGTTAATGGTATGTTCCAGCCGAGAATGCCCTGGCCGTGGCTTCTGGTGCTTGCTGGTGGCATCTAACTGTGGTGCATGACGGGAGAGAATGTCCCTGGGTGCATGGTAACGGGTAACACGTAACTCTCTAGGGTCCGGGGGACTCGGTCAGTGTTCCTGCTTTCCTTCCTGCTCCACTTCTCCCATCTCCCACCCACCTTTAATTTCTGTTTTCTAAAGATGCCTGCTGCCCACAGAATGACATTTAGAGTTGTTCCCCTAATCCCAAGCATGAAGACTAAACTCTCCTCCATTTTTCTTGATACGTCCTTTGACACCTCAGAATCTACTGGCTCCTGCTTGCTTTGTGTAACCTCTGCGAGTTGGCTGCAGGAGGCATGCTTAGCTCTCTCTTCTTCTCCTGTGACTGTCCTTCACCCGTGAGGCCATCGCAGCGAGCCCTGTTGCATCAGGGGAGGTTATCTCAACCTTGAGTGCAGCCAAGACGTTTCCAGACAGTATTACTTACTTACCTTCTTCTTGGGGTTATGTGGTTGTTTATAAGTCCATTTATAATTCTTTAAATCACTTTGTTATCTGTGTTTAAGGTATGCTCCAAAAGATTATTCTCTGAAAGCAAATATAATAATCATATATATAATATATATAATAATAAACCCCTCCTAGTATAATATTTTGCCAATAAAAGCCCAAGATGAAACTTATCTAGCTCTCACCCTCTCCTGTACTGTGTCCAAGACATGTGTATTTAAGCACACATGAACATGCAGATTTTCTGAAGCAGGAACACTGAACTGTAATTGCTTGGTAATTTTCTCTGTGTTATGTTGCTTTAATATGAACTCTTCTCTCAACGTCATGTCCTGTCCTGTCCTGTTGTATGTTTGAGGTCTGATGTCGCTCAGTTTGAATGTAGGCATAAAAAGCCTCTCACTGGATTTCTGTTGTCATTTATGTTGTTTTACTTGACATATGAATTGAATGGAATCTTGGATGTGAAATACCAGCTTCCCTCCTGAATTTGCAAATCTTACCTTTAACAACCTGAGCTTAATCTAATACCATCCAACTTTCAACCCTGTCGTCCCTTAACTCCCTGTCCCAGTCCCTGTACTTTGCCTCCTCCCTTCCTGTTTAGTTCTGTGACCCTGTTGTTTTTTCACTGTCATTGTTGTCTTGGGTCCCAGCTGTTCTCCCGTTATCCTTAGCATGGGCCTCGAGATTCCATCATGTGCATGCTTTGCATGACCCAACCCAGTATCTCTACTGGTGTTTGCCAGTTTCTTCTCCTGTGACGGTGAATTGCTATGTATTTATGTTCATTTCTGTGTTTGTTCCAGTGTTAGTGTAAGGTCTGAGGCTGCATCCATTCTGAATCTGAAAGCAAACAGAGTGTGCTTTCAGTATATTCTAGGTGATGTTTTCCAGGGCTGGGATGTGACGGTGTGGTCCCACACATACGTTCACATCAGCTGGAAGTGCACAGTACCACAGTAGTTGGTTTTGATACTCAACTTAAACATGCTGATGACACTTCCAGCCCCCTTTTCTGCATATACATGCGTGCATAGAATCATTGTTATATGCGTGCATGGATACGATTTTGTGCTTATCTTATGCATGACATTTGTGTATTGTTAGTATGTAGATAGTTCTTTGTGGGGCCCTTGTAGGTCTGAATCAACTTTTGTATGAACGTGTCTAAGGTATCAATGACTAAGTTAAATTCTTCTGTGTATACACATACCATACTTGTATGGTCTGTATTATCCACAGTTTTTCTCTGTTTTGTTTTTGGACAATCCACAATATGTTTCAATTGTTTGTGTCTGTACAGTGCATGTCCTGTGTTCAGCAAGCCACTTTTTACTTGCCTTGTATATGTTATCATCTTCCCTTGTGTTTCGTTCCAGTTCGCCGTGTCCCACCAAGATTCTCTATCCCACCCACTAATCATGAAATAATGCCAGGTGGAAGCGTTAATATCACCTGTGTGGCCGTGGGGTCACCAATGCCTTATGTAAAGTGGATGTTGGGAGCAGAAGACCTGACACCTGAAGATGATATGCCCATAGGAAGAAATGTCCTAGAACTGAATGATGTAAGACAGTCAGCAAACTATACCTGTGTGGCTATGTCAACACTGGGTGTCATTGAAGCAATAGCACAGATCACTGTCAAAGGTATGCTCAATGAATCGTGCTTTGAGGATCTGAGTACAGTCAAGCCACCTGACTAATGTTTGTAGGAAACTTGCCCCTGAGATTCTAAAATGAATCAATTCATCCTTTGGTCTTTCAAATATGCATAACCCGGTCATATCTGTAGTTTCGTATAAGACATGTGTATCCATGTCTAGGCTAACATATTTTTTCTTGAAAGTATTTGGCAGCCTAAATAGAGGTAATCATCACAATATTTAAAAACAAACAGGGCTCAGGTACTAACCAGACAAAATTAGTAATGTCGGACGTGGTCGACCATTACGGTAGAACAGGTGCATATAGACTTCAGCTAAAGCAGAACCTTGGTAAGAGTCACAAGAAAAATCCAAATAAGCTTAAATGAATACTTCAAATCTCTTCAAACAAAATCAAAAGAAGAGAAAGGCAATTGCAATTTAAATTTCTAATAATAGATGCTATAAATTTTGGGTGGGCCCTCCTATTATAAATGTGCCGAGCATTATATTTTGGTTTTGTCTTTCACCTTGTATATAAGAATGTTCGAGAAATATTCTCTTCTTAAAATACATGTGCTAAATATAACCAAAGTACTTATTTCACAAATATTTTTGAATAAAAGAAAAAAAGATGTAAATATGTGTTTGGAGGAGGTACCAGTTTTTTAGCCTGTGTTTATAGAATTGTAGAAAATGTTTGCATGTTGGGTCAGTTGAAGTTTTCTACAAATGTTTTGAACTATTACAAAATTATTTTCCCTTTCTAGGAAGTATGATCTCAGAAAATGCACCATGTCTATTATAATTGGTATTGTATCTCCTGCCACAATTATATATCAAATAGATGGCATGTAGACCCAGTAAAGTGATGTGAGAACAAAAGAAAATGTTAAGCTTTATGGTCATTTGAAACAATATAGTATTGCATATCCTTAAAATAATAAAGAGATCTGTACTTATTCATACACTATAGACACAGAACATATACTGCATAATAAATGTGACCTACTGAACCTAATAATGTCAGTTAAATACCAGTAAACACGACTTTCATTAGCAATATTTTTATTTGCCTTGAAAGTTCAGGAAGATGTAGGGGAAATCTGGATCACTCACTTCTTTGAAAAAAAAAATGCCAGGTCAGAATATTTGAACAAATGTCTACTTATTATTATTTTTCATAATTTCTTTGGCCATTTATTATCATTCCGCAGTTCTTCAAGTAATATGTAAATATTGAATCACCTTTTTCCATAATGACCATTTCAACTGTAAATATTTGATGGTGTGCAAAGACCTTTGCAGAATTCAAAAGAGAGAGTCACATCACGCTGATGCCTCATTCACCTTCTTATCTTTGTGCTCCTGACTCTTGCCACTTCCCTACCCTTTTCCACCTCAACGATAAATAAATAAAACATAAAGGTGAATCTTGAAGGCAAAAAAAAAAAAAAGAATAAATCCAAACAAAAGAACAGGCTGAAGGGAGCGACGAGATTGGGTACTGACATTCAGTTAGTCATTTACAAATTGCCATTGGAAACCTACTCTGAGCTGTGTCTCATGCACTGTGGACACAGCAGTAAGTAAGGGGTTCGCTGCTCTGCAAATGCTGCTATTCTAGGGGATGTTACGTCTTGGCCTTTTTCTTGACAAGGAAGCAGGGATACTAATGGGCTGATTATGTGGGTGTTACCTTCTGGGTTTTCTCTAAAAAGTCGGCTGGTAAAATTCCCCTCTTTACCCTAATATCACTGCCTTGCAGAATCATTGTTTACAGCAAGGCACTTAAATACGTAGTTTGGAATCTTAATTAATGGTATGTCAAGTTGAGTTCTTCTGCTAAAAAGAAGGAATTAGATCTTGGAAAAGATGTACTTATTGCAAATGTTATGCAGCTATAAACCCAGATTTTTCTGATCTAGATGTAGAATGCATATTATTCTAACAGGAAAATCCTTTAAAAAGTGATTTATGATTATGTCAGTTGAGTTCCTTCAGCCTTTTTTCAATATTAAGAAAAAATATGTTTGATTTCAAATTTCTATTATTTCTTATGTTAAAATTCATAGTTAAGATTCTTTATAAGGAAAGTTTAATAATGTTACCTATGTCTTTCAATGTAGATAATATTCTTCATGGCAATGTAATTCCATTACACTATTTTCCAAATTTTCTTCTTTTCGATGTTTATTGGTATTTCAGTTATTTATTTCTTGAAGCAAAGGGCTAATTGGCCAAGCTTTTGGTGTAATAATAGTAATAATTACAACTAATGTTTTCTGAGGGCTGCAGATACATTCTAAGAGCATTACTGGATTAGCTCATTAATCTTCACTGCAAACCCATGAAATACAGTTACTCAGCTGTACAAGACAACTCCAATAATACAGGTTTTCCTATTTTTCGCATGAGGAAACTAAAACAAAGAGAGGTTAAGGAATGTATCCAGGATCACTTAGGTAATAGGTGGGAGATTTGGATAAAAGCCTAAATATATGCTGTTAAGCCCTTCTAGTAAAATAGGATTTGTGTCACTCATGGGTTTACTGTGCTTCTTGACCACTTAGAAAACTGTTCTTTGCTATAATTTCATCTAATTAAACCTTCAGTAGATGCATAATTCTGTCATTACAACAGCAGAATTTGTGAAGTCTTATAACATTAGACAGATGATTACAGATGTTGAGTAGCCAGTGTCTTTTTTTTTCCCCCACCCAAGCCTTACCCAAACCTCCAGGAACTCCCATAGTGACAGAGAGCACAGCTACAAGCATCACATTGACGTGGGACTCTGGGAACCCTGAGCCTGTCTCTTACTACATCATTCAGCATAAACCTAAAAATTCTGAGGAACCTTACAAAGAGATCGATGGGGTAGCCACCACACGCTACAGTGTTGCTGGACTAAGTCCCTACTCGGATTATGAATTTAGGGTTGTTGCTGTCAATAACATTGGGCGGGGGCCTCCCAGCGAGCCTGTGCTAACCCAAACCTCAGAGCAGGCACCGTCCAGTGCCCCCAGGGATGTCCAGGCGCGGATGTTGAGTTCGACGACCATTTTGGTACAGTGGAAGGAACCAGAGGAGCCAAATGGGCAGATCCAAGGATACAGAGTTTATTATACCATGGACCCCACTCAGCATGTCAATAACTGGATGAAACATAATGTAGCTGACAGCCAGATCACCACTATTGGCAACTTAGTGCCCCAGAAAACATACTCTGTCAAAGTCCTGGCTTTTACCTCAATTGGAGATGGTCCTCTTTCAAGTGACATACAAGTCATCACTCAGACAGGAGGTACGTCTGGTTCAGGATGGAAGAAGGGCAGAGGGAGGTGGTAGGGTTGAGAAGGGGGAAGGACAAACACAGAGAAAGAACAAAGGTAGTACGAAGTCTAATTTGTATGGTATAGGGCTTCGAAATGAGGGGTAACAATAAGTCATCTAAGAGGGGAAGGCCTAGACAACAGAAAGACTAAGTAACTTTTAAGCAGAGGGATGTATGATACTTTTCTGCATGAAATAGAGGAATGCCTCCTTCACGTACTATTCCAAAAACACAAAAATTAAGCTCCTTTAAACTAGGGACTTAGGTGGAATGGTCTCAAGAATTAATTTCTGTAAGATTAAGTGCTTCACAACAAGGATAAAAATAAAATCGTTTATCAGGGGGCACCAGATATTTATATGTTTGCTAGGAAGCTACTACTTTAAAAAATATTCTCTGAATGGCTTAAATTTTTGTTTTAAATTCTTCATCCACTAGCCTCAATAGATAAAGGAAGTCAGTTATCATGATCTTGGATTGAACTTTTGAGCCCGATTCACTCATTTTATTAGGTGCTAGAGTGGATGTCAAACTAATTTATGAACAAAAACTTGGCCTTACCAGTGGTTTTGTTTTCATAAGAGAATATGAAACGTATTTGGTCTTTGATTCAGGTCCATCAGTTATGCTTTTGGCTGGGCATGTAACATATCAGCTTTCTACCAAAGTTTATTCTTAACCATCTGAGAGCTACTCATTCGGTTCCTAATTGTATTCGCACTTTTTAAACTCATATTAATCTCTGAGTATTTTGGCAGCATGCCATTGGCTTGGTTTGGGAATCTATAGTGGAACATCCATATTACTGGAGACAGTATCTATAGGTATAACTCACTGCTATTCTTGGCACTGTTAATGTGTTTTCTCAGATGTCAGAACTAGATAATGTATCCATTATCTGGTTTCTCTGTTTTACTGACTCCTGACTTGTTTTCATGCTATGAGCTTTGTGAAGGGTGTGACTTGGTATGTTTACCTGTTTGTCCTTGCTACTTGGAATCTCTGTTTACAGCCTGCCTGGCTATGTTTTCACACTCTTATTTGGTTCTCACTGGTGTATTCATGGATTTACTATTTTCTTTATGACATTTATGAAAGCTAACTATAAAAATAAATGTTTCACCACAACTGTACTAAAACCCACCTATATATCTTCTCTATCTTCCCTTTGCAGTCCTTCTATGTTTATTTTCTATCTTAATACGCAGAAAAATATTGTAGATTGGTTTTAGCATAAAAGCTTCTCATTGGAAAATGTAGAAATCTGTGAATCTTGTTTTACTTTATTTTTTTGGACTAAAAGAAGTCAAGAGCTATGAGATTTCTTATTATACTATTTTATCAGCTACATAGTAACCCTTAAATTATTATAAGAAAGTATATTGGAACTTACATATTAATGTGAGCTTTATTTAATTTTTCAGCTGTGACATATTTTAAATCCTTAGTCTGACATAAATAGGATTTGAATTCCAAGCTACCATTTATTAGCTCAGTGACCTTGGACAAGATACTTTGTCTCTCTGAATTTTGTGGAATGCACTCAAACACCGAAGAGAAGTGTAGATTAGATAATGGATAGAAACATTTTATAACTTAATTGGGAAAATGCAATAATAATATATGCTGGACACTATGCTATGAATTTTGTGTGTATTATTTGCACAACTCAGATAGATGTGGAAAAAAGATTCAGGAATTTGCTTTGGGTAGTAAGGTTACTGAGTAGAAAAGCAGAATTTAAATCCAAGGACCCTGAATACTCTCAACCACCATTATCTTTCAGAGTAGTAATTTTCTGATGTGATAGTTTTAGTGTTTTTTTGCCTACTAAGTATTCAGTTGATCAACAAAGGAAGGAGAGACAAGCAGTGTGTGGTTTCTTCGTGTCTTTAAAGAATTATATATGATTTACTTCTGGAATACTTTAAGTGGCTATTAGATTATCTCAGTGTAAAATGCATATCTAAAATGCTTAGATATGAAAAAAATATGTTTTCTGAAAGAAGTGGAAGACAGAACATTTTTCATGAAAATTATTTTACCCCTTCACTATATATGGCTCTGAGTTTTTAACCACCAACTTAAACATACAAATGTATGGTATTTTATATGTTTATTTTCTGATGATAGATGGATCTAAGAAACAAAAAGATTTTCTTGGGTGGTGCCTGTGGCTCAGTGAGTGGGGCACTGGCCCCATATACCACGGGTGGTGGGTTTGAATCCGGCCCCAGCTTAATTGCAACAAAAAAAATAGCCGGGCATTGTGGCAGATGCCTGTAGTCCAGCTACTCAGGAGGCTGAGACAAGAGAATCACCTAAGCCCAAGAGCTGGAGGTTGCTGTGAGCTGTGACGCCACTGCATGCTACTGAGGGCAACAAAGTGAGAATCTGTCTCTAAAAAAAAAAAAAAAAGAAAAAAATTTCTTAAAACTAAATTCAACCAAAACTGGAGTCCTCGAGAATCATGAAATTCTTTGTATTCAGAACATTGAAGGCATCAATGTCTGTTATTTAGTCACAGTTTACTGAAAAAATATAGAAGTGATGTTTATAAATAGACCATATTTGGATTTTTAAAAATACTACCAGTGCATTGGGATGGTTATTCCCCACACTCTGTTTGACCAACTCTTGTTTATATTAAGATATTTCAAGAACCTTCCATAATAGTCATATGTTTAATACTTACTGATTGAGACGATATCAATAGGGTAAGAAAACCCTCCAAAACAGCACAGTCATTTAGACTTTTCTATAAGTTTAGTTATACCCACTTAATATTAGTGGACACTGTCCAAATATAATGATGCTAGTTGTGATAGAATTAATGTTGAGCTGTTCCTTTTTCTTTATAATTGACCGGCTAATTCTTAGGATCATTGCTAAACAAAAGCATACAACCATTATGATATATTCATTTACAGAGAGATAGAATTTAAGTTTGGGATTATTCCGTTGCAATTTTCTCTCTTCTAGACGTACAAGAACTTACTGGTCAATAATACATAAGAATTTAAGTACATTTTAATTACATATACACAGAAATGTACATGTTTATGCCTTCTGTGTCTCCTAGGTTCTCCTTTTCATTTTATTATCTTAACTGCCTAACACTCACATTCCTATTGTTATTTAAAATCGGATTCTGAAGAAACAGATTTAGAAACAAAGAGTTTAAGAGCAGAGTCATCCCTTTAGGTTTATGTAAAATGACAGACAGTCACAGAGATTGATATAAATAGAAGATTGATGTAAATTTCTATGTATCTGGTAATGGAGAAAATCAAAATATGATCTATTTTATAGGTAATCAAGTATTTCCCCTTGTTCGTATTAGTCTACTATGTTGGGTAAACTTTAAATGGTTTTACATATGAAAAGATTTTAGTTAAGATGATTATCAAGTTTCCCAGGGCTCTAATTTCTGGCATTACAGTCACTTGTAACTAGTTTACTTTGAAAGTATGCATGACCATTGGTAAGGGAAGTATTTTTTGTGTGTTAGAAAAATATTTGCATTATAAGAAACACATTCATATAGAAAAAGGGGTATCCTTTCTTATACCCCATTATCGTGTGAACATAGGGTAACTATATTTTACAGAAGGCCAAATTGAACTCTGATAAAGAGATGTAACAAATTATATCCTAAATCCTAATGTGTGTCTTTTTTTCTGAATTTTCTTTAGAAAACATATCTGACCTCTTAATTCCTCTATGCATGTAATAGATTCTTAGAAAAAGGCTGCTGGTTTCCATGAAGACACCTCAACAGCATATGCCTCCAGGCAATCAAAATTATATCTATTTACCAAATAAATAGTAATGAGTAGTATCAACTTTAAACATTTTAGAAAAATTAATTCTACCACAAATTCTGGGCGTTGTAAAAGTATTCAAATTTAATCTATGCCATTCAGAGACAAAGTGCCTTAAGTTTCTAAAATTTTATAAATCATTTCATTAGGATATATCAACAGGCCCATATAAGCAAACTACAGAACGACTGCTTTCCAATAGCCAAAATTATGAGTCCAATTTCAATGCTCCCTCTGAACAGTTTTAGCGATGTGTAAAGGAGCACTGGATGTAAATACAACTGTAATAAGATTTAACTTCTTCTTATTTATATTTAATGACAATTGAGAGTAAGATTTGTGCAGATGATTGTGCGTTAAGTACCTATTTGGTCGATGATAGATTTGCAGAAGTTACAGATCAGACTCCTTGTTTTGAATTTTGTTTTGTTTTACTACCACGATGATTCTGGCTGTTGCTTGCATTGTTATTATTATCGTTTATCAATGTGCTAGATACACACATTTTAAAAATATGTACATTATTAAAGTGTTAGATATTTTTGCAATAATGGATTTTTTAGTCTCTTTGGTAGTATAGTACAGCTAGAAGGAATCGTTGTTTAGCAGTATAATATATGAGACTTTTTCTTTAGAGATAACCCATAAATTTTACTCAAATATTAATCTCCTTTAATATATGTAACATCAGCATTTCAGACAGTGTGAAGGTTTTCCCTTTATTTCTTAGTCTGTTTTCATTCTCTGACTGTGAATGGCCTCCAAGTTGCCTTCAGATATTTATATTGAGGACACTCACAGTACTGCTCCAGTAATGACTAATACCCAAGTACTTCATGTTTATCAGTTAGATTATCTCTTTTCTTGACTTGTTAGCTCATATTTCTGTTTTCTCGAAGACAATTAAATATGTAATTGTGAGGGAGGACATACGTTCACAGGCGGTTAAGGCCTTCTTAAATGTAATTATAAAGAAAAATTTGTATTTCTATAATACTTTTATTTCTGCTTTCCATTTCCAATTCTAGGTCTGGTTGATGGTCAGTGTTAACTTGTCCCCATTAACTGCTAATCGTTCTGGCTGTGTTGTTTTGATTTGCCCATCAGTTTCCAAGAATCTCAGATTTTATGATAAAATTTACGACGTGTAGTTAATCGGTGAAGGAAATGTTACATCACAGAAAAGCTCTAAGTAAATAGTGATATACATAGATAAAGAACTAGAACTAGTAAGTGAAGATAGAAGACTATCAGTAAGAGTGATGTGGAAATATGGGAGGGCATAAAGAGGTATATGCTTACATAGCTAAGTGCTTACACATGTGTTTGTAGATGTAAATAAATGTAAACTTGTTTACGGAGCCAGCATTGATAGCAATGTAAAATAGAACCTCTGTGGCTGTAATAGGGGTATAAAAATTCAACTGACAGATAAGGAAAGTACTCCCTGGGTCTCCAAGTAGTACAGATAAAATAAATATGACAGTCTGGCATCCCCTGAAGTGTTTTCTTGTACACATATGCTATGATCACTAGGACTGATATATCTGGGAATTTAAAAATGTGTCCATCCATTTCACCTATTTAAAAAATTTAAACAAATTCAAGTCCTCAGCTTCCTGGTGGCCCTTTCAAATATAGCAAAATGACTCTGAGGAACTGATAGCTTTAAGGAGACCCTCCATTCCCAACCAAGTCTGGGTAGTGGCACCCTTAAGCCATTTATGAGCACAGAACCTGGTATAAAAAAGAGACAATAATAGTTTAAGGCATCCATATACTAAATCCAGCCTATAGGTGCATTTTTTTCTCCATATGGTGGGTTTTTTTGTCAATTAACTTTGAATCATTAGAAAATGAAAATATGTTATCTAGATGATTTATTATCAATCTCTGTGGTCAAAGACAGAAGCTAGGGCAAGACTGGGTGCACATTTCACAAGGCAGCAACCTGCTTGTATTGAACATGATCTTCATCTTGCAGGTGGACCAATTCCTCTCCCACTGGCTTCAGGCTGCCTTCGCCCTCACTGAAATCAGCTAAAAGTGATCTTCCTGATACCTCTAGGCATTTGTGTCTTCTTATTCATCTCAATAAGATCTTACAAATGAGGCCACCCCTAAACAACTTTAAAAGGAGGACCCTAAAAGAAAAGAGGAGAGGACCCCATGTACATTAGATACGGAGACCTGCTGTTAAATTGTCTAACTAATGCTTAGTTTGTGCAACAATGAAAAGGACAGTGTACCCTCCGAGACTTTGACGTGCCTATTTAATTCAGTATTTAGAAGGAAGGGGGGCTTATAATAGAAACAAACAGAATTAAAAGATCAGACGAAGCTTGTGTCACTAAATAAGAATGAAACATTGAAACCAACTGGGAATTTGCTCAAGTCAAATTAAAAGCAAAAAGTAAACAGTTTAAGTAAGAAAAAATTAATTAGTTTTCCAAGATGTTTTCAATCAATGTCAATTTATTATTAGCATTAGGCAACAAGCAATTAGTATCCTGAGAGCAGTCCTTCCGTGCAGTCCCCGTTCCTAATTCTTGACAATGCCGTCTTCTGGTTTGGTTTGAATGAAGAGTTAACACAGGCTTTCTTCTTTCTCGGACTTGTGAAAATGGGAAGAGAGAAAAAACAAAACAAGGGGAAAATAAATGGCTGCATGCACATGTCTGTGTGTGTCTCTTTAGGCTGAGAAACGCTTTCATCCTCTGAGTATTAGAATCCAGTCATAATTGTCCCATCTGTCCCATCGTTCTCAGCTTCCACTGTTGCTTCTGCCCAGGCTTTTGGTATTCCCCTTTTTAAAATAATGCTGTTTCCAATTTGATTTGCTATTTGCCTGTTGTTTTTCTTCCCCTCTGTCCCTTCTTCTCTTGCCCTTCGAAATTTTATCTTCTTTTGTCTCTGCCTCTCAATCTAAATGATTGTATTAGGTCACCCACTGGGCAGGTACTAGAGAAAAAATGGATACCCCTATTCCCAGAGTAAGTTCCCGGAGGCGTCAAATTAATGAGAATCTCAAGGCCTGTGATTAAAGGGAGAGAGAAGATGGTGAAGGTGACTAGAAATATGAAGCACTGATTATTTGTAGCCTTAAGCGTAGGTTCAAACATGAACATGTGCCTGTACACTCTCTCACACACACACACACACGCGCACACGCACACACACACACACTCACACACACACGCACATACTCAGGTTGAAAAATCCCACAGAGAAATGATTGTTAGGGATTCTGGATACCTTTCTTGTAGATCCCTTTAGTCTTTTAATTTCTCTTTCAAACAGGCCATTTTTTTTTTTTTTTTTTTTTTTGGTCATACCACAGAGAGGTGACTATAAAAGAAGAAGCAAGTAATATCTCCAAAGTCTCATTTCCTGAGAAAATAATGCTTCAAGCACTATTTTTAAACTTATGCTGTCACATGTTAGCTATAAATCGTATTATTGTTTATATATTTTAGAATGTTTATGCTCAAGTTGCCAAAAATATACTTTAGGTGTTCTTTTCTCATCTGATGCATTATTCTTTTTTCTTTTATTAAATACACGTGGAATTCTCGTTTAAACTTGCAGGAATGTGGACGTATGTTCAGCCACAGCACAATGAGACATGCTCTAATCTCAATAGTAATGATTCAAGTATTTAACAACTAGCAAAGCCCAGGCACCAACCAAGCAAAGCCGACATTGGCCAAGCACAATTTAGGATTAGATTGGCCAGGGACACCCTTATATACGTCAGGTTTGTTTGTGTATAATGTACGGAGGCAACTGTTGGGGTTAGGTGTTGACAAGGAAGTTGGGATAGCAAAACTAACTTTGGTCCAGCATTTATTTATGTTAGGTGTTTTAAACTGAATAAACTTACTATTCTTTATTACATCTGACAGCTCTTCCAAACTGCTCATTGCATAGAGGATGTGGCTAATGTAAGAATTTCAGATGTCCTCTCTATATTACCATATTTCTGATAATAGCTGTGTTCCATAAACTTTAATTTGTGTAGTGGTTTAGCTCTATGCCACTAGGGAAAATCTTATGTTTGAATTAGGTCTAGTGCATTAAGTAATTTAAAGTAATTTAGGGATTAGAAGTAATTATTTGTAAGTGATAGGATTTTTTTTTCTTTATGCACCTTACTTTCAAAATGTGGGTTGGTAAGAAAAAATATTAGGGGATTCTGGTTGCCGCTACCTGTTGTTAATGGAGCACAGGTGGGATTTTATAAACCTACTTGGAAATTTGAATGTTATAATTAGTGCTAAAGAGTAAGTTCCCATTCAGTTATAAATAACAATAGCTTTTAGGTATTTGATATTTATTATGTTTTAGGCAATATTTCAGGTTTTATTTAAATTATTTGTTACTAATAGTATTATGAAGTCAATAATTTTATTACCCCTAAAATTGAGAATTCAGAAACTGACATATTCTAAATTTTGAACCCCACTATATTTTGAATAGATATGTTACTACTCAAGGATGAGGACAGTATTTATAAGATTGTTCTTGCTTCTTGGAGGAAAATGTAGTCTATACAGAGAGGCTAACTCAGACAATGTAAGGGAGCTAGTTTGCCATGAAGCAGATACACATGGACATATTAGAAAGGTTTCAGTGGATGCAGCAAGGAGGAACTTGTGAATACTCATGGCCATGGTGAGTTCAATCCTTTGCCTCCCTGTTTTTAGTACCAGGGCAGCCACTCAACTTCAAAGCAGAACCTGAATCTGAAACCAGTATTTTGCTGTCTTGGACACCGCCACGTTCAGATACCATTGCCAACTATGAACTGGTTTACAAAGATGGGGAGCATGGAGAGGAGGTAAGATGAGCTTCTCACCTTCCTAGTCATTCATGACGTACGGCCACTACTCTACTTTTGTGTACTTACCCCAGTTCGTGGTCAGATACAGGACCTTGGTAGAAAAGACTTAGTTACAAAAAGACTTTTAAATTAAAAAGAAATTTATTCAGCAAAGCGACCCTTCCTATTGGAACGTCTTTCTATTCAGGTTTCCAAGTTCTATAGAAAGACCAAGTTGCAAAAGGACAGGTAGGCAGTGAGACTTGTGGACTTTCCTTTGTTCTTTTCTGCATTAAAATACTGAAGTCACTTTAGAGACACATGACTACATTAGATCTATAAGTTAATAAAAGTCCTGGGCTGGGTGAATTTGTCCAAATGGTTTCATAGAAAGATTTCCTAATAGCAAATGTTTATATGTATGTGGAAAGTTATGTTATATGTACATGAATATATATAAAGTTTGTGTATTCTATGCAAATAACAATAGATTATAGAAGGTGTGAAAATTGCTGACAGTCACTGAAATGACTGAAATTTTCACTGAAATGAAAATTGAAATAAGGAATACACATCTTGATTAGGGTGACCAGATGTCGCACTTTTTAACAATTTGTCCTGTGTCCCATGTAGTTTTAAAAAAGTCCCGATTTTTGGAAAGAATGCACGAACGGGCAGGAGAACAGGAAGGGAATATATGGTTTTTGGCTGCCATGTGGCTATTTCGCCAGGATATGAGTTTTATATTATTTTTGTTAATTTTATGTTAAACTGTAATAATAACAAATAATTGTTGAGAAGTGATTATCGAGACCTGCTTATCAAAGTTTGCATTGTTGTCAGGCCCTGCCCTGCCCCATCCCCTGCCCCGCCCCTCGGCCATGTTGTCCTGCTTTACCAATGTTAAAATCTGGTCACCCTAATCTTGATAGGCCACTGTTCTGAAAGTTTCACATTCATAAACTCGTTTAATGTTCACAATAACCCTATGAGCTGCCCTCCATTATTAATCCATTTCACATATACCAAATAGTGACATGGAAACAAGTTAAATAATTTACTCAGAGTCTCACTGTAGTAAATGACAGAGCTAGGATCTGAGTCTAAAGAGTCAGTTTCTAGAGTCTGTGTTCTTAACCACTAGGGCAGGCATCCTCAAACTGTGGCCCACAGGCCACATGCAGCCTGCCTAGGACATTTATCCCGCCCACCAGGTGTTTTTGCCACCTCTGCCTGTCCTGCTGAGCAGCCAACTCTTCCCAGGGTGCGCAGTCCTGCCCTCCAGTGGTCTGAGGGACAGTGAACTGGCCCCCTGTTTAAAAAGTTTGAGGACCCCTACACTAGGGTCTGTTGCCTCCTGAGCACACTTCAAATAAATTGTAGAAGTTGATATTGAGATATATCCAAAGTTTTCATAATGTGAATTTATAATAATAATAAATATGTGTTATTTTGGTATTGTGAAATCTTATAGGTAATATTAGGACAAAAAAGTTCAGGACATTATATTGAAAAACTCAATTTATACAGTTCCCACCTCTTTAAAAAAAGATCTACACAAAGTTAAATAGCTTCTAAGTTGAAATAAAGAATACCTTTTTTAAAAAATCGCACTAAATGAACAATTATCAGTTCACTTGTACGTTAGTTTGAATGCTGTAATAAATATGTTGTTACAAACTGTTTTATTACATCTGCTTAAACTGGCAGAATCTCTGCTGAACAGATTTTTAAATGCAGTGTTTTTAGATTTAACCATTGAAGCCCATGTCAATTAAGCATTTAAAAAGTTATATGACTAAATTGCAGGCTTAAGGTATTTATTGTACAACTTGAACTATTGATTTTTTTTTTTTTTTTGGTGAGGCATAAATCAGCATTAAATTATTTTAAATCTTCACCGCCACCAAATTAAAGTACATAAATGAATGCAAAAGTGAAGAATAATGGCAATCCTTTGAGAACACTCTGGCCGCTTAGATGTTGACACACCGACTGTGCCTTACTACTGTTTATTTAGAGAATCCCCTTTTTTCATTATTTGGTGGATTTAAATTTCTGAAAGCTTTTGTGTTTGCAAGCCAGAATGCCCTAGGGATGTTTTCTCTAGTTTATATCTGAATTTCTCTTGACTTATTTGTTTGTGTAAATGACAAACACCATTTGATAAAAGCCTTAAGATTAGCCATGCTATTACTAGATTGGATATTTACTTATATTTCAGGGTTTATTATAGGCGAATGTTCAATCCAAGATTGATTATGTACAGACAACAATGCAAAATGCAAAGGCAAATTTAAAGTACGAAAGGTAATAGTTCTGGCATTTGATTAACAAAATCTTATTTCAAACATCTTTTATGATAATAAAGGTTGCAGAAAAGTTTGTTAATTTTTTTTTTTTAGCTGTCTTCTATAGTCACAAATGAAGAAAGGAAGTTTTCTGATTGTTTTAGATCAACCTAGAGTAATGATATGTTGTCACAGAAATTTTTTAGCTTTCTATAGGTTCTAACTTTGTATAACTTTGTAATTTGTATAACATCAGAACTTGACAAATTGAGATCTCTTCTATAGACCTTGTACAAACTACTAGTTACTGTTGCTTCTTCTGGTCATATTCTCTTCGCCCCCTATTTAGATTACAGATCATGGGAAATGAGCTAGACATCTGTTCAATTGAAATTGCACATGTCGGGCATGGTCCACGATCCAAGGGCAGGTGCCAGTCTCTATTGTGGTCTGTTGCATGGCAACATATACATATTTAAGGCTAGAACACACTCGGGGGTGTTGGCCCGTCTGTCTCCCTCTCATCCCATGCATGCAGATAACTGTGTCAACCTTAAAAAGATCTCTGGCTTGCCTGAATCCCAGTTACCTTTTGTAGAAACTTGCCTTTTAAACTCAGATATTTTCATTATGTAGTTTCCCTAGTAGAACCCTTGGTACCACTGTCAACGCTTTTTATAGTATTTTGATGAGATTAGAATGCTGATAACAGAAAGCCCATGCTCCCAGACCTTGGGATAAAAGTCATTAGCTTAGGCTCAGTGCCTGTAGCTCAAGGGGCTAGGACTCCAGCCCTGGGCGGGGGGGGGCGGGGGGGGCGGGGAGAGGGTTCAAACCCATCTTGGGCCTGCCAAACAACAAGGACAACTGCAACCAAAAAATAGCTAGGCGTTGTGGTGGACACCTACAGTCCCAGCTACGTGGGAGGCTGAGGCAAGAGAATCTCTTAAACCTAAGAGTTAGAGGTTGCTGTGAGCTGTGATGCCATGGCACTCTACCCAGGGCAACATAGTGAGACTCTGTCTCAAAATATATATATACATTTGCTTACTTAACAAAGATGACAGATTCTCTTGTTACCCACAGCAACGAATTACCATTGAGCCAGGGACATCGTATAGGCTACAAGGGTTGAAGCCGAACAGCTTGTACTACTTCCGTCTGGCGGCTCGCTCCCCTCAAGGCTTGGGTGCTTCTACTGCCGAAATATCAGCTAGAACCATGCAGTCAAGTAGGTGTCTCTCTTTGCTTCCTTTCTGCCCTTTTTTTAACTAGGAGAAGTTACTACCTTTAACCTCACCAACAAGCAAACCTGCTCATATGCTTAATAGTCCGTAATCTCTGTGCTAAGAAGCAGTAAGCTTTGGCATACAACAGTGATGTATGCTGGTTTCACATTTGGTTCCAAAACAGCCCTTGTTCTCCCCCTTACTCAATTGAAAGAGTTGCAGAGAAATCAGTCGACCTCCATGGGTGATAAGTGGGTGAAAATAATTAGACCAGGCCCTATTTTAAATTTATAAGGCTGTAAAGCAAAATTTGGATTGAGAACATTGAAAGCTAATCATAGGAGGGCTTGGCTCAAATGAAAGAGGCAGCAAGAGACAAAACCGTTATCTTTTTTAAGCACACGGGTTTTAACTTGGCTAACAAATTCAGTCTTTATTTCATGTATTTGAAAAACTCAGCTCCTATGACTTGTACCTTTTTAACTCTGCAAGTAGTACATGTGGAAATTTGGAATAGTCACAGAAAATCTATACTGGCCAATATCTGCATTTGGACGGATTCCTGTATTTAGGAATAATGGGATAACTGCAAACACATTTGGAATCCTAAATTGTATTTCATTTCCTCAGGTTCAGTTTTTTTTGGGAACTGCTACCCTTAAGCATAGTAATGTTAATTGCAATGAGGGTTCATTGAGCCCAGGAAAAATTGTTCTGCACAGAGTATTATTCAGGAGATTGTGTTTGACGGAAAGTTTGGTGGCTTATAATACTATTATTTGCTTTTTATCAATAAGCATCTATGATTCCTCTATAAACAACTCCTTACATTAAAGTGTTTTATGGAGTGATTTTTCTGAGGTTTTTGGTGATATTTTATCTGTGCTGTTTGACATAGTGACTTATGAAATTGATATGTGTAATATGCATACTTTGGCTTTTGTCAAGAGGATGTTCTGTTGACCTAGTAGTTAGACCTATCCACAAACATGAAATTTATATTTTAATGGATTAATTTCCTTTCATCTAAGCAAATTTTCCATCATTTCATTTTTTAATAGAAACTTGAACTCTTTCAAGGTTTTTGATTGTAAAATTCATATTCTCCCTCTTAATCAAAATATGATTATTCATATGAAAAGTATTAGCATCCATTAGTGATTATATTCTATTCCCATAACATTTCTTATCATTTGAAGATAGAAGCATGTAAATTAATGCACTTTCTGTATGTCTGCTTTGAATTCTGCAGGAAGGCTAATAAATAATAATGTAGATCATTTCATAAAACTAAGCATTTAATGAAAAGAAATTGTACATGCTTCAATATAAAACTCATTTTTCTACCTATACGTGTATACGTGCATAGAGATTGAATGGATTTTTATAACCACATCAAAAGCTTATCTACTCTTTATTGTATTAAAGTGAATGTTTCTAACGGTGTTGAATATATGTTCACAAAAACAGGTCTGAAGGTAGCACAGTGAAAATCAATTGTCAGCTTTTTAAAAAGAATTACAAATGAGTCCTTGTTGTTGCATGAACAATTCAATATATTATGAATAATTATAATATATATTAACTAGTTTGAGATTTAAGACCCTCTAGTTAGAATCAATAAACATGATATTCATGTGATTTTGTAAATCTTATTCCAAATTTACAAGGCTGTCCTATGAAGATTTTTTTTTTTTCAGCAGTACAGGCAGGGTCTTATTTTGATTGACTATAACAATGAACACAAGGCACATAAATTAGAAAAGACCAATAATCCTCTAAACAATTGGGTACACCTGGTCCTCCATACTGTTAATACTTACCAAGTCTAAGTAAACCACCAGACTGCACGGTGAAATACGGAACTTAGGATTGCTTTATTCATTCTACATAGATATTGCTTTATGAAATAATTATGTGTATGTGTATGTACTCGTATATCTTATCCTACTTGTTTGTTCTTCTTTAGGAATATGTATTATTAACTTTAAAATAATTTATGATAATAGTGGTGTGGTTCTTTGCTGACTTATAAATTATTATCAAATAATGATAACATTTGGAAAACTTGATAGAAAATAATTGTTCAGCAATTACTAGTTTTAGAATGGACAGTAAGAAAGTATTTCTTTTAATTCTAATGTAATCCCTATTTTATTTGAATAATTATGTACAAAGTGAAAGCAATTATGCTCCCAAGTCATATCTTTTCCAGATGATTCTTGATTTAGAAAAAAAAAAAAAACAACTTATGTGTAATGGCTATGTTATTGACATTTTATAAGGGATAGATGATTATTATTTGATTTTACCAAAATGTGCTGGTGGGATCTAATTCTTCACTAGCAATGGTGTCTCAAGAAGAGTTATAATAAAAAAGCTGAAAGCTGACGTAGGGTAAGTACAAGTTACAGTCAGAATCAACAAGCCTGACATTACCCTCTGGTAGGTAAATCTTGAACTCTGTATTTTCATCCTTTATTGATTCTGCATGCTCACTGTATATGGGCTATGATCAATGTTAGGATAACACTTTTCATTAAAACTGGTCAGGCAAACTTAGTTTTTTTTAGAAAGAATAAACTCTTTCATGGGTTTTGTGGTTTTAATTTAATTAATTGATTGAGTATTCATTGAAAGTGGAGGAAGGACACTAGCAGTTATTACAACTTGTCATACTTCAGAAACTGTTCACAAACCAATACTGTATGCATATAAATCAACCTCCTTTTAGAATGTAGGAGTGAAGGCTTGGAACAAGTCTTTGAAGCATCATAAGACTCAAGTAACATATTAGCACTGTTTTCAGCTGTTTTGAAGCTGAGTAGTCAGTATAGTGGGGGCGGGGGATACTGAGGGATTGGTTTAGAAGAACAATTTAAATTGCAGGTAGGTAACTTTACTTGAGGCTCTATTATCTCAAGGTTTCATTTCCCCCCACCCACTATTATTTTTGGTCATTACATTATTTTTGGTCATTTACTCATTATTATTTGTTTTTGGTTTATTCATATTACTAAGCCAAGGTACATAAATTTGTCATTAAAATTTAAGTTTCAAAGCCTTATTTTTGTTTTGTTACCCTTATTGTTCGTTTATTTATTTTTGCCTTTTCTTTTGTTTTATCATTTTTTTTTCAACCACTCCTGTCCTTTCACTTAAATCCTCCTTTAACTCACTACCAAAATAAGAGCCGTCAGCTCCTCCTCAAGACATTAGTTGCACCAGCCCAAGTTCCACTAGTATTTTGGTAAGTTGGCAACCTCCACCAGTGGAAAACCAGAATGGCATTATCACTGAATACTCCATCAAGTACACAGCAGTGGATGGGGAAGATGACAAGCCTCACGAGATTTTGGGAATTCCTTCGGATACTACCAAATACCTTTTGGAACAGCTGGAAAAATGGACTGAATACCGCATCACTGTGACAGCCCATACCGATGTCGGCCCTGGCCCTGAGAGCTTGTCCGTGTTGATTCGAACCGATGAAGATGGTATGTTGCCTCCGCTACGTCAGTTTCACCCTCTGACACAATCCTGGTCTGCTGTCTTTTGATAGGCTAACCATAATCAATTTTTCTCTGCTCATCTTTTTACCCAGCATTGCTGTTACTTCAATATTTTTGCCAAAGACCTGTCTTTGCTACAGCCTGGGCAATTTTTTTTTCTTTTTTTCAATCTCAATGCAGTATTTTGCCTCTCTTTAAAAAGAACAGTTTGCTTCTCTGGTCTTATATCCAGACTCTCTCTGTACCTTCACCTAAAGTCTTCCATGTTTTTCTTGGCTTTTTGTGGCATTTTGAAGTGAACTTTTTAAAAACTGTCTTCTTGTCTTTTTGTGGGCTTTTATTTCTTACATAAAATTCCAGAGACACTGATGCTCGGCATTCAATTTTTGGCCTCTGTTGTATGGAATACCTTTAATATGAGAAAAAAAGAAGATAATCCATATAATCAAGAATCTTTTTATTCTGCTATTAAAAAAGAAACCTTTAAAAAACACACAACGATCGACAGCCAGTTTTTGTTATTATTTCGATGCTATACCTCTTTGTGCTTTCATGCTTTGAACCTCAAAGCATCTTCCTTGGCTTTTGTACATTTTTTTACATGTTTTTCTATTTCTCTGATACTCTTTTTTTCTTCCATTTTTTTTTTTTGCATTGGTCATGTTTTTTGATCTTTTCTTAAAAGGTAGAGCAGATTGGTTAAGCATTTTCATTGGTTGAAAATGTTTGTATTCTTCAAAGGAAAATAGTGGGTCTACCCATTTTTTTAAAGAAAAAAAACTAAGTAAAGAAAATGCAGAAAATGCTCTGACTGGGTGGGACAAGTGCCTATAATTTTCTTTTATCCAATGATGTTGTTCCAGTTCCTAGTGGTCCTCCTCGCAAAGTCGAGGTAGAGGCTGTCAACTCAACATCTGTTAAAGTCTCATGGCGCTCACCTGTGCCCAATAAACAGCATGGCCAAATAAGAGGATACCAGGTGCATTATGTGAGGATGGAAAACGGTGAGCCCAAAGGCCAGCCCATGCTGAAAGACGTCATGCTGGCTGATGCACAGGTAAGCCTCTGAAATTATGTACCTATGTTTTTATATAATAGGCCTTATTTTTAGGTTTTTAACATTTAAAAAATTACAATTGATGTGTATTTATCTTTTCAATCATAGTTGCCATCAACTTAAGAGAATTATAATGAAATAACACTCAAGTCTGATTGAAAACATGTTACTGTTTTTTAAAATATAGATATTCTGCTCTTTTTAATTTATCTGAGTTTGCCTTTTTGAGTTTAAAAAATGATCAAGTTAGTTAAGTTAGAGGGAAAGTTATAAATGGCAATTTTGTGAACGGGATCTATTTTCTGCTATGCTAAAACTACTTGGAACTAGTTGATCTAATTCCTAATGGTGTGACTTCTTACATTGAAAACCAGACATTTTTTACTCATGGAGAGGTATCCGTGTAGTATTTTTTTTTTTTTTTTAGTGTATTTCTATCAAGTCACATATTTGATGAAAGTAATTAATTGTTTTATGTCAAAGAAAAATAAAGATAGTAACAATAATACAAATTAGAGTTTCCCAGACATAAAAGGGGTGCCCCCATGCTGAGCCAATTTAAGGAAAGTACTAATAGTGACTAATTGAGTATGTAAGAAATTTTATCAGTGGTTAGGGCCATGGTTTCAACCATGGTTTCACAACTTGGTTTTTGAATTAGTTGTTTAAAACAGAGCTTTGAAAATTTTCAATTTTTTTCAGTGCTGGGAGGTTGTTCAATGACAGTCCCTCAATAATTCTATTTGTATTTCATATATTTTCCTAAAAGGAGGAGGAGATTTCATTTTATAATTGCCATGCTTGGAATTATCCATAACCCATGGAATAGCTTCCCTTGCTGTCCCTATCCATCGGTGATGGATATGACAAATATTAGAGTGCTTTACTTACCCAGCAAATTGATGGCTAGACAGGGAAATGGATGGCCTTGATAAAACCATTGTAATCTATTTCAAATGGAAATGTCTCCCTTTGTGTGAAAATGGGAAAGATTATGAAGCAAGTGAAAAGCTGCTGCAACACATGGGCCAGTTTAACATTCTTGTCTGTGAGAAATATGAGAGCATGAAATATCCCTGTGGCTATAAGGAAGTGTTTGCCTCCAGAGTCTTAAGTCAGCTTACAAAAGTTCTTATGTTTCAGTTTTGAAAGATTTTAACTAAAAGATATGGATTTGTGTTCACCTATCTACCCCCAACCCAGTTCTATGGTTTTGGCCTAAAGAACATTTCTGTAAACGTAGGTAGAGGTGCATAGCATCCCTTCAAAGCCAGGAAAGGGACATTGACTGAATTTTTATGAACATTTGTTTCATAGTGCCTCTAAGAGAGAAAGTTCTCATAGTATAAAGTGAACAAAGCCATTATTGCTATATTGTAAGTCTGCAATTATGGAAAAGAAAACAATACGTCCATCAGGCTATGAGGCCCTTCCATGGTTCTTAGATATTATACATGACAAAGCTGTCACTCTGTCTCCATTTTCATTGTGAAGTACAGTAGTTAATGGAGATATATAGCAGTACACATATACCAAGTACATTAAACGGTAATTCTTTTCTTCTCTCTTCCGCTCTGGCTTTTCTTATTAATTGCTGATTTTCCTTATGTTTCATTGGTCTTGTCCATTTCATTTATTCTACTTGAGTCTTCACTGAAATTTCATTACATCTCACAGTACTTCATTGGGGCTATAAGATTCCAATATAATGAATGATATTAATCTAAATAGTGACTTGAGTTAATTATGCAGCCTAAGAAATAAGTCAAAATAAATGTCATAAAATATGGTATGATTAGAAAAATAGCTTTTTGCTTTGCCTTATTGATTCATTTCCGTGAGTTATACATTAGGAGAAACATCGATGATTTTTGTGATAAAAGTAATAAAACATATTTAATTTGACTTCCTAATCAAGGATGGAGGTGACAGCAAGACACAGTCTGGAATTTTGTTGTGCACACTATTTCAATTATTTATTTTTTTCAATTTTTTTAATCTAAGGAGGGCATCATTGCCTTTATAAGGCTACAAATATCTCTTCATTTCTTTTTATTTTGTCCCCCCCTTCTTAATCTCAATCAGTGGGAATTTGATGATACTACTGAACATGTGAGTAATTTTCATTTGCTTTATCAAAAAGCAGACTCTATATGCTCGTTTTTCCTGATACCCTTCTTTTGCTTATTTTATGGTTTGTCATCACAGTTTGCTTACGTGCATGAACTAACAAATTATTTTTAAGTTATCTTCACTGTGTGGTATACTTTTTATTTTGATGTTTTGCGAAATTGGCATGATGCTATTTGTTGCATAAGACATGTCACGGGCTTGTGGTATTTGTTTCGATGGCTGCTACTAACTCTGCCTTGTGACACAGTCGGCAGAGGCATACTTTAAATGGAGGCATTGCAGACTGGAGATGTCAACTTGTTTGATGTAGGCTGCTCGTAAATTCTACTCTAGGATTACATACCCCGTGGATAACAAGGCATAGATCTGGCACTGATTCACTCTATCTAGAACTGGCTATTCTCTCTTGTACCCATACAGGTTTAGTACAATTGAATGGATCATGCTAAGAGGCAACAAGTATCTCACTGAGTGAGGAATGTTTTTAAATATTTGAGTGAGAGGTTTATGTTATTTCTTAAGAAACTCCCATATGTGTGGTACTGTGGAAGGCACATGAGGTGGCACCTACCTCCCAAGTGTTCACAGTCTAGGTGGCTAGGGGGAAAGAAAAGTTCTGAAAAACTTCAGAAAATACAGCAAAAGAAGTGTCCTAAACTGCAGTGTGTAATGCATTAGTAAATGAGTGAGAATGTCTACGAACTATGAATTAACTAATGTCTCTGCATTAGTTAGATCACTGTCTCTCTAGGACAGTAAAAAGGTGAGGCTGAGTTGAGAATTTGGGAGATGACTAGAGATTAAATAGATGAAATGGCATGTGTATGCATGAGTGTGCGTGTGTGTGTGTGTGTGTGTGTGTGTGTGTTAGGGAGCTGGAGGTGGGAACATACTTTCTTAAAGTTGAGCCCAGCAGAATCAGTCACTGGGATAAGTGAGTGTGTGATATAGTCAGGTGACAGCAACTTGGCTAGTCTTACACAAACTGAGGCTTCATTTAACTAAGTTTGTGAGAAGTACAACTAGAGGTAAATTATAATGTTGGGAAAACATAAGGTATCAAGCCAAAGAGCTGGTCAGTCTTTTACTCATCAAAAAATGTTAAAGAGAGAAATGAGAGAAAAGTTGGTACGAAGGGAATCTTTCATTCAGTAAACATGTATGTATTGCCACAACACAGGGCTCTTGATGGAAATCTTGATAAAGACATACAAATTATCAGTTCTCAGTTCTCATGGAATTGGCATTGCAAAAATGTTTTATAAATTTATTTGACTGTGATCTATAGCAAGAAATACATTATATGTCACGATTCAATACACATTTACTACATATGCTTAATTAAAATAAAATTATATAAAATAACACTTTAAATATATAATGAAGTCTAACATTTTATATTCAAGCCTATTCCATTTTTTATTTGTTTAAATGCTGGTCTGACTGTCTAAAATTGGTTTCATGATGTGCTAAATGGTGATTATCTGTAGTTTAAAAAACAGTGACTTCACAGATAGAGAATAAAAAGGTAGCAAATAGAAGAGCAGGTAAAAAGAGAGATTTTACTGTGTAATTCAGTCATGAAGTGGTAAAAGTTCAGCAGCAGAAGGGATAGTTATGATCAATAAAATTGACAAAAACATGCTGAATAAGAACTTGAGGAAGAAAAAGAGGTCAAAGATAGTGCATAAGTTTTGCAGATACATTACCAGTCATTAAAATATGAAAGTAAGGAGGGAGAGTCAGCTTCTGGGAATGATTTTTCAGGTAAGTTGAATTTGAGGTATCACTGGGTAGTCATAGGATATTTACAATGAATGTATGTGCCACTAGAGCTCAAATGGGAAGTGTGGGTTTGGAGACAAATTTGAGTCAGAGGCAGAAATAATTATTTAAGGTTTGGAAAAGAATGCAGTTTCTAAGACTGGAAACAAGTGCAGCAGACCAGAGAGAAATGACTTTGATGGAGCCTCAAGAATGCCAGCTTGTCACAGTCTGGGACAAAATGTAGAGCAGAGAAGGGACAGGAGAGGACCAGGAGACTGAGGCTGTGGCCCTAGTAACAGGCAGCCATCTCACAGAGGTACAGAAACCACCAAGGAAGGGTAGCCACTACTGAAAGAAAGAAACTGTAACCGATGAGAGGATGTGATCATGGCAGATAGAATTGCATCTATTTGAGATTATACCACTGCAGAGGACTTGACTAATTTCCAACTGTGTTAACTTACATTATTCTGTGACAGCCTTGGGTCACAAGGCAGATGCATGTCGTTAATGCAGATTTTATGAATTATACGTATAAGGCTCAGAGTGTGTAAAATTTGTTGATAGAAGCAATTCTTGCTTCTTTTTCCTGCTAGCCTCACCTACCTTTTAGCAGTAATCCAGGGGCATGTGAGAGGGACCTTGGGAACAATAACATTAGTATTTACTCATCATAGTTTTGGGAATAGCCAGTATACTATGGCTACCATAATTTAAAATGCTGCTTTCACGTAGTTCACTTAGTTTTTGTATCCTCTGAAATGTAAGTAAAAGCATTCCAGGGTCTTGGATATAAAACATCTCTCTCAAATAATCCATTTATCTGGTAGAATAAAATTTCCAGTGACTCTTCAGAATGGCATCTGAAATTCTTGAATTTCCATAATTATCATATTCTTGCTCTTTTGAAAAAGCACATTGCCAAGAGTTATCATATTTGGAATCAGCTTAAACAGTTGAGTTCAATGGCTTGTAGTACAGTCTTGCTTAAAAAAAAAAAAAAAAGGAAAAAGAAAAACCAGCAACACTGTATTCCACACAGTACAGTCTGTTCACTTAACACATTGTCTTTAGATTTGGAAGATAATGACACTATATATTTTCTTAAATTTACCTATATTCAATTTGAAAATGTAACTGCATCAAAAATCCAAAAGAGTTTTTATATCACTATTGTTGTGGGGCGGGGGGGCATGCAGCTTTTAAGGAAACACCAGAACAAGTTAGTAGCCAATACTCTAAGAATCATGCCACCTCCACTTTAAAGGAATAGATAAAGATCATTGGGTCACATAATCACTACAGCTGTGGACCCTTACTCAAAGAAAATGAAGAGTTTTGATAGTTTGTGACATGTAACATTTGATAAATAGAATTGATTGAGTGCACATTAGTTATGTGGTAAAGCACTAGTCCTGTTGTTCTATTCTTTGGTCGTATGTCATGCTTTCTAATTTGCCAGAAAGTTCTTCTCGATTCATAATGATTTTTGTTCATAGCCCTCCAGTTTGCCAATATGTTCCTGGAGTACTATGAAAATTCTCTGGCTCTCAGTATTTCTAGATCCAACATCAACCCTGGGGCATAATACTTAGTGATAAAGCGGACTATGCAAGCCCCATCCTTGTCTGTGGACTCAGTTACAGTGGTTACATATGGCAAGCTGTTGGTATCACGGCTAGTTTGTGGAGGGCTCACTGTGAGCCAAGCGTAATTCTTAGAGTTTACCTGATACAGTACATTCAATCCTCCAGTAACCCTATTGGGTCTTTATTATTATTCCAACTTTCAGATGGGAAAGGAAAGGTATAGGAGGGCAAATTAACTTGCCTTGGATTATCAAACTAGTAAGGGCAGGCAAGTTTAGGTTCAAAAATTCATGAGTTATGGCTCCAGATTTCTTGTTTGTAACTTCCTTAAGGGCTGCATTGTAAGATGCCTAAAACCCTCCCACCCTTCAGTGTCAGCATGAAAACACATCTCCCCAGCATGAGCTTCAGGCATGATACTCCCGGTGCTCAGCATGGCCATCAGGGATGCCCAAGCATGCACAGAATGAAAACAGACCACCTTGTTTTCCTTCAGAGCATTCTTAGCATGTTTTGAATCAGTGTTATTCTATTGTGTCGTTTTAGGACATGATCATTTCTGGGCTACAGCCTGAAACCTCCTACTCCCTCACTGTCACAGCCTACACCACCAAAGGAGATGGTGCTCGCAGCAAGCCCAAACTAGTGTCTACCACTGGGGCAGGTAATTATGTCTGTGCATGTATTTGCTGTGAACAATAATATGTGTACTAACTTTCTAAATAGTTCAGGTGGCTTCTATCATGATTGTATTATGATAAAATCAGAGGAAATCGATGGACTACGGTCAACTTTCATATGTTTTAGTTCAGGAGAAGAACAATAGAGTTCAGGGAAGAAAAATCATGCAAATACATACTTTGTACAAAGTACTCAATCGATCATTCAACAAATCTTTTTTAAAGCGCCTATTATGTGTCAGGCACTGTTCCTAGTGCTAGAGATATGCCAATCAACAAATCAGAAAAAGAGTACTCTCATGTCATGAAATTTGTCTTATGAATAGGACTAAATAATTAAGACACAAATAAATGAGTATATAATAAAATGTCAAGAAGGAATGGATTGAAAAGTAAAGATTTGTAGGCACAAAGGATTAGAACGCCTCTAGGTGTATAAGAAGGTCTCTTACAGGAAGGGTATTCAAGCCGTGGCTTGAGGAACATGAGGAGAAAGTCCTGTGAGGGTCTGGAGGGCAGGCCTGTAGGCAGGAAAGTCACCCAGCAGGTTCGACCTCTCCCAACAACAGAGCCTTTCAGAAGAGCTGCCATGTTGAACTGGGTTCATGATTTATCCTTTGTCATTTTCTCCTCCTGACCCATTGCTGTGGGGGCGTGTAAAGAAGCCAAATTGTGCAAAAGATGGGAAACCGAAAAAAGAATTTAAGAAGCAAGAAAGTGAACTCGTACGAAATTGCTCTTTTCTGTAGAACAAAGCTTCTTCAGGGCTCTTTATAGTTAGGTTGGATGACCACATCGAGAAAAACCCGCATGAAGGAAGAGCTGGGTTTGTAAAAGCAGTAAATTGAGAGATAATTGCAAAAGGAATCTCCTCCAGTCCCTGTGTATAGCCATTCCCACAGAACATTTCAACTATGATTTGATTTACTCCTCCTGAATCATTTCTCACACAAATTTTCAGGAACACACCTCTAAGTGAAGGCATAAAGTAGAGAACAGCTGTGATCTTGAGCACCCTCCTGGGTGCCATGCTCACTGCCCAATTTGTCTAAATGTCTAAGATTTGCCTTGCTCACTTCCTGCCACCTGGAACTGCCTCCAGCAGCAGAATTACAGATGGCAAAACTCCTTCAAGCCAGAGTCTTCTGGGCTTTTTTATTTTTATTTTTTTAAGAGTACCATTTATCAGGCTAGTTTAGTGCCCCAAATAGGAGATCCGTGTTTAATGATGATGGAACCATTATCTGTTGGAACATGGACAACCATGGTTAGAACTCTTGAAATAGAATCCAAATGGAAGAAAATACATTTCCTTCATTCCCATTTACAACTGCATCTCAATAAGCCTGAAATGTCTTATGAGATGCATTAAATTTCTATTGTCCATAAGATGGGGGTCGTGTAATGAGGAGAAAGTACATTTATAGCCCAGGGATATGAATCCCAGAGAAAGGAATGGTTTTGTCTGTTTCAATGTTTTTAAGACTAGCTCTTCACTGTTTAGTCACAATATAGAAGTTTATTTAGAATTATGAATCTTATCCATACGATTCAAATATAGAATTCTTTTGGAATTTCCATTCGCAGTTTCAGATCTTTTTTAACCAACAGAGACTTGGGTATTGGGAAAGCAAATGCTTATAATTTAGATGCCTGCACAGTTACTTTCTTCAGACCTCCCCCAGGAGCCTGGGATGAAGGTGGGAGAATTGGGATTTATAATCCCTGTCAGAGAAAATCTCTCCTTTTCCTCTGTATAAGCATTCTCTACTTATGTTTTATCCCTATGCAATTAGTTAATGTATCAATTTGTTTTGTTTTATATACTATTAAGAAAAACTTTATAATATGTGTCTGTGAAGAATTACTGAGTTTATCCCACAGATGTGAGCTCCTAATAACCATAATTAGAAGGGTATTTAGTTGTAGCTTCCACACAGAATTCAGAAATTCTCAAAAAATTTTACTGTAATAGTAAAATTCCTGATTGTGGGATATGTTTATTTATTCTATGCTGTTTCTGGACTCTGTAAACATATCTTTGAAACAAGAATACTGGTGATAACTTAAATAATCCATGTAAGATTCAGATAACCCGAAGGATGCTTCTAAAGAAAATGTTGGCTTTTATGTTTCAAAGATCATGACATTTTTGCAGTTTCTTTGTTAATACTCCCACTGTTCGGTATGACGGTAATTGGACTGTTGCCTGAGGCCTTGAGGTTAAAGGCAACCAGAAGATTCCCTGGTTTGACATTTTCTGTGTATTTTTACATGAATTCCAGTACTCTACTGAGCAGCTATGTTTAAGGATGATCAAAAAATGACTGTGACATGGAGAATTTAGAAATAACAGACTTAGTCCAGCCAATTATAGTTTTTGCTGCTTTGGTGCTAGGTTAAATTCAGGCTAAATGTAAAACCATTGGGACTGAGTGCCTTGGTTGATCTCCACTGATTGCTGTTGGCTAAGAAGTAAAGGGCATCTGTCCCTATGTACCATTTGTGAAGTCTTAAAAGATTTCTGAAAAGAAAGAATATAATAAAGAAATAAGAAAAAGCATAAGGGAGGACAGTTTATATGTCATGATATAAATTAGAAACATATTCTGTTTGAATATGTTCTCTAAGACACTGCTTAAAAATGACATCAAAGAGTAAAACACTTTCCACCTTGTCAACCCTCACACGTCAATGCTGGAATAAGTAGAACCACATAGTGAGTAGGGCCCACACAGTAACCCTATTCATTAGAAACCTTGAGCCAGGCTACACATACAGAATAGTCCACTCTACCTCTTTATTTTCTCAGCTAGAGTATGCATGTGTTAGGGGACATGGACTCTGCTGGATCCTATCTTTATATTCCCATTCAAAAATCTGTATGCCAGTGTATAAGTCTTTGTACAAAATGAATGGTTGGTAAATATTTCATACATATCAACTTTCTGGAAGCCAGAAAGAGGATAGGTTTCTTTGTGAATATGTAGAGTTTAGTAGAAATCTTTCTAACCATATATGCAATGATGTAGAATTCGCCTCATTCCTTTTCCCTGTTTTATTCTATCTGTTACTTCCTGGATGAAATATCACAACTGTCTGAAACCCTTACCCACCACGAATTTTAAGCCACATCCATTATTTCCACCATTCACACATTTCTGGACATTTTAAGCATCACTTCAGGTGGCCACCCTCTCTGAGGTAGTATTAGGAGTTCTTCCTCAAGCAGCCTCAGTGCTCATTTCTTTACTGAATTGTCCACTTGTGCATCCTGGGGCTCCCAGGCTGGTTGTCACATGGTTTTCAGGCTTAGTAAAACTTCTGCCCAGGGAAAAGAATGTCTGTTGTAGGTTTGGCAATCAGACCAGACTGAGATGCTCCTGGCACAGCAAGGAAAGCCAATAGGTCAGAAATGGTTCTGGAACTATTTTTTGTTCTCATGAGTCCAAGCCCATAAGCTTTTATATACCAAAACTGGAAAGGTCATGCTAGCACTAAAAACAAAAGGCATTACTCTAACCTAAGCTCTGGTTCCCACAGAAGAATAAATATCTGCTTTCATAAAGTCAGAGGATTTTTTTCTTAGAGTATCAGTCTATATATTTCTCCAAATTTGTACCATAGCACTATTATAAAGTGAAACATCAGATAATAAGAACATACTTATATATAACTTACATATACTATCATAATGCAATCTATATTTGTGGTGGTCCGTATCAAGAAATTAAGCATATTTATCTATCTTAGCTTTATGTGCATCTTATGTAAATAAGATGCATATGTGCATACTATTTTGAAGCTCCTTGGAACCAAAATTTTGGAAAATTTTAATGAAAAACAGCCCAAGTTCCCATTGACCCATGAATGGATTAACAAATTGTGGTATATGTACACCATGGAATACTATGCAGTCACAAAAAAAGATGGGGACTTCACATCTTTTGTATTCACCTGGATGGAGCTGGAACATATTCTTCTTAGTAAAGTATCTCAAGAATGGGAAAAAAAAGTATCCAATGTACTCAATACTACAATGAAATCAATATATAATCACCTATACATTCATATGAATGGTAAAACATAACTATAGTCCAGAAAATAGAAGAGGAGAGGAGAGAGAGGGGAGGGGAAGGGGGAGATGGTAGGAAGGAGGGCATTTGGGAGGACCTCACTTAATGTGCATTATGCAATGATATGTTTCAAAACTGTTAAGAAAAGAGTATAATTGTGATGGATGTGTTACTTAGTTCAAGTTAAGCAATTTCACATTGTATATCAAATCAGTATACTGAACCCCATAAATGCATCAATATGCAAAATTATGATTTAATAAAAAACAAAAAAGAATATATTTTTATAAAATTGTATCTGGAGAATGTTGAAAATTAATATTTACATTTCCAGCTATTAGTTTTACCTGAGTTTCAATTATTGAAAGATATATTCTCTTCTGAAAGTTCCATTGTATGATGCATTTTTCTCAGCACAGACTCGAGTATTTAATTCTGGACACCATCATGGACATTTTCATGAACAAATCATGTAAATGGTATATAAACAGAAAGGGGAATTGAATTAAAGATGTCTGCCAATGTTTACCTTTCAGTACTATTTTAAAATTAAAATAACTATAAATACATTTTTTAAAAAAAGTAGAATAATCCAAGCACTCTCCTTATAAGTGGAGTTTGGTCTGAAAGAATTAATTGGTTAAGATCTCTGGATGCATTTTTTTCCTATAGAAGAACAAGAATGCAAAGGGTCGGTCCCAGGTGAGCCTTTAATACACATATTTTATATGTACACAACACACATGTTATAGAATTGCCATTAGAAACGTTAGGAACTATTTTTTTCATACACGGAATGTTAGCGGATTTGTATAAACTCACTATGAATCCTTCCAGGCTGTGAAACAAAATCATTACCCCATTGGTTAAGAATAGACATATCTTAATGAATATGTTCTTGAGCAGAGCCCACTTGGGTCTAAACTTAGAAATATAAAATGAAGAAGTTAATCAGATAACTTGTGAGGTTACTGTTCTATGTGTTATCACATCATCTTTCTAGTGCTTTTTTATCTTTATCTATATTCCCATGATACTATTTCTTATAGCCTAATCTCCCATAACAGTAAACTTTCCTCCCTTCCTACCATGTTTCTTTCTTCTTTCAATTAACTTGGTTTAGTTTTGATTCTGATAATACTGTCTCCTCTGTCCCTCATTTGGACCATTCCCAAGGAAACCCTTAGCTCTATCAATGCCTTTTTCTGTGGATTCCAGGAATAATTGCTCTCTATTAAAACAAAAATATGTAATAATACAATAAATGAGTACCTTAGAATTCTTTACATATTTAATCTAAAAATAACCTCTATACTATGAAAAACTAGTCCCTTACCACCAAAAGCTTAATGTTCCAATTATTAATAATTATAGTTAATCATAATAAAACATAAAACGCTAAGACTTCAACATTAACTTTTCACTTGCTATTCATAACAACATGTAGTAGGTCTTAATATATTAATAATTCCCATTTTACAGATGAAGAACTTGATGAGAAAGACAGATATGGGTAGTAAAGTTAGACAAAATGCACAAATTAGAATCATAGTAGATTAAAGGAACATTAATTTGCACTTTTGAAGAAAACTCTTAAGGATTATAATAGCACAATAAAGCATTTAAGCTATGGATTCAGACAGAGCTGGATTTTGCCTTATTTCTTACTTGTTACACACCTGACCTTTGATAGTAGCTACTTCTCTGGGCTTCATTTTCTTGTGGTAGAAAATGGAGATAAGAATAACTAATCCGAACATGCATTGAAGATTCACAAATGTCCTTCAAATGAAAACATCGTGTGCACGCTCCTAACACAGTACATGGCACATTGCATATACTCCATAAATAGATAATTATTATTATTAGCTATATCTAATGGACTAATCTTTACTTAGATTGATTTCTCAGTGGATGCACCTTCATATGTAAAAGTCTCAGATATGAAGTTGTTGAAAAGTTCCCTGAAATTGTTGTTTCAATGATAACTTCTGTTGTGCATCTTCAAGGGGGTTGCTGCTGCACCCAGAGATGAAACTAGGAGAGGTTCAGGCTAAGTTTAGTGAAAGGGGGCTAAGACCTGCCTGAGCAAAGAGAGAGGCTGCAGTGGAGATAGTTGGAACCTTTTTTTTATACTTGGCATAAGGGCAGGAAAAGTTTCCAGGTTGCTGGAAGGCTTTGGTGGGCTTGGGTCTGTTCAGCAGAAGTCAGGGCAGGGTCAGGCAGGCTTTCTGTTCTGGAGGGGAGGTAGGGGAAGGGTTTAGCCCCCCTAACAGTGGCTGTTATCAAATTCTGGTATCTGGGCTGCTACCTTCATAAAGTAAGAGAAGGAGCATATTTTCACAAAGGTATATAGGTCAAGCATTGCTTTTATTTTTTCTTACAAATAACAAAATTAGAATACCCCTAGTATACAACCCTTATTTGGCAATGACTAAAACAAGAACATTGAATTGGTTGATCTTACCTTTCCATTCTGTGTGCTCCAGTTCCAGGGAAACCCCGGCTTGTAATTAACCACACTCAAATGAATACTGCTCTTATTCAGTGGCACCCCCCTGTGGACACATTTGGACCCCTTCAGGGCTACCGTCTCAAATTTGGCCGCAAGGATATGGAACCCCTCACTACTCTGGAGTTCTCTGAAAGAGAAGACCATTTCACAGCCACAGATATCCACAAAGGAGCATCGTATGTCTTCAGGCTCGCAGCCAGAAACAAAGTGGGCTTTGGGGAGGAGATGGTGAAGGAGATCTCTGTTCCAGAAGAAGTGCCAACTGGATTCCCTCAAAACCTTCACTGGGAAGGCACTACTTCGACCTCCGTGCAGTTGTCCTGGCAGCCGCCTGTCTTGGCCGAGAGAAACGGTGTCATCACCAAGTACACCCTTCTGTATAGGGATATCAACATCCCCCTTAGCCCAACGGAGCAGCTTATTGTTCCAGCTGACACCACTATGACACTCACTGGCTTAAAACCAGATACCACATACGATGTAAAAGTACGTGCTCACACGAGCAAAGGGCCCGGGCCATATAGTCCCAGTGTCCAGTTCAGGACACTGCCTGTGGATCAAGGTAGGATTTGTCTGCTTATGGCCTTCCTCCTTTAAAGGAATGTCAGTCTTTGGAAATCAGTATTTTGAAGCTATAAATAACTGATCGGCCCATTCATATTAATAAGTTCAGCAAAAACAAAAAGGTAAAGTATGTAAAACTTAATACATATTGGATGCCTTAGATTTCAGTGATAGAATGCCAAGCAAGTCTGGCTGACAGCACTCCAATGTCCTCAGGTAAGGAAAATACAAAATAGTTGGCTGAATTGGAGAGAAAGGCGAGATCTTTATGAGAATGGGGTATTAATATGAATGCTCTAAACAGGTAGGCCAAATCACACTTCTCTCTCTGATCAAAGGCAGCATCTATACATAAGCCCTATGGTCCACGGTGGAAAAGGACAGGACATATGTTTTTAGGAATAGTTTAAATACACTGTTTTTCCTTTTCCAGCAGTGTTTGCAAAAAATTTTCATGTCAAAGCAGTAATGAAGACTTCAGTGTTGCTGTCCTGGGAGATTCCCGAGAATTATAATTCCGCCATGCCTTTCAAAGTAAGTTGTTTTCTAATTTCTAAGAAATCACAGGTAAAAGTAGTGGGGACTGTTTATCTGGGTGCGTTATTTGCAGAGCATGTAGGCCACCTGGAGCTGCTGCGTGTACTTACTATTCTCATTTGTGACTTTCACAGAGGAGGCTGACCTCCTTTGGCATCATGACCTTTCCACGCTAAAGAGGGATGGGAGCTCAAACCCAGGGCTAGCATTACTGGTTACCTTCATCTTTGAACTTGAACTTTTTACATCGTAGCCAGTGCTCTTTGTTCTTCTGCCAGAGAATGAAATTTCCATGGTTCCCATCTATTTTTAATGCAATATCCTGGGAGCTTTTGAATTTCCTTGGTTTGAATTCTTGGCACATTTTAAACTCTGGCTTGCCATTGAGCCATATTGAAAACTGTTAGTGAGAAGTACAAGTTTATGAAATAAGGAGTAAAGAAACATTTTTGAAAGTAAAAATATATTTAGGAACAGGCATTGAAAGCTTTAGAAAAAGGGGGATGTGGATAATGTATTGAAAACCTGGAGAATTTCTGTACACATATCATTAAAATTGCATAGAGCTGACAGGTGAGATATTTAAAAGTTATTGTATGCATCTTTGTCATATATTTTGATAGAAGCATTGTATCATTGCACAGTGGGAAAATGACAGGAAAATTAATGTAGTTTCCAGAATTATGAATGCTCATTGGCTTAGGGATTGCCCAAAATTAGAATTGACCTATAAACACTTTCTGTGAGCAAGTGCATACTGGTTTAGAAAATATCTTTTGCTTCTCTGATCACAAAAATTCTTTGTTTGTGTCTTTAGATTCTTTACGATGATGGGAAAATGGTAGAAGAAGTGGATGGGCGAGCCACGCAGAAGTTAATTGTCAACCTGAAGCCTGAAAAGTCCTATTCTTTTGTGCTAACAAACCGAGGAAACAGTGCTGGAGGGCTTCAGCACAGGGTGACCGCAAAGACTGCCCCAGATGTGCTGCGTACCAAGCCTGCCTTCATTGGGAAGACAAACTTGGACGGCATGATTACTGTGCAACTGCCTGAAGTCCCTGCCAATGAGAATATAAAGTAAGTTGACTAAAGGGTTAGGGCTGATGGAAAGATCTGCAGGTAAACGAGAAAGTGATATCTCAGCGCTGTGCACATATCACAGCTCCAGGATATGTTGCTGATGGTATAGTGAAGGATTGTTCAGCCCAGACTCACAGTTGTGCTTTCTAAGTTCTGTTGTACTGTGTTCTTAGGATCCTTCTAACATACATTGTCATTAACTTAACATTGAGTTTTCTCTGCGTTTCAGGAACAGCGTTACTTAGAGGAGGTAGAACAACAATAGAGCATGGTCCTTATTCCAACGCAGTTTATGTCAGAGTGTATGGAATATGGTGAATAGTTGACTGACACTAATATTTGGCAAAATACTGCTGTGATTGTGAGGAAATCTAACAAAGTGCTGTGAGGTTGAAAGGAACTTTGGGAAATAAGATACATGTGATATATGACACTGATATTTCATCATAGGTATATGTGGCTAAAAAGTGGGAAATATTTTAACAAGTTACAGTTCAAAATGACATTGAAAAACCGTAAACATTAAAAATGTACGATTTTTGTCTTAGATGGAGCATAGTGTAGAGGCCGGTGGGCTGAAAATGGAAAATTAAATCCATTAGTTAAATTAAGTAGTTTATAGCTAGTTAGTTGCAGTCAATAAAAAGGAAAAGTATGTTGACCAAAATGTATTAACTACAATGATTGTGGTAGACCCTGAAGAATAAAAAATTGGTGTACTTCCTGTCTTCAAAGAGTGCTTATCCTAGAGTGGGCAATAGGAAGAAATAGATGTAAAATGATAATGATAGGGTTATGTATCATCTTAAGAGCAGATAACACAGAATGGGATGGGTCAAGGAAGTTTCTGAGCTTAATCTTGAAGCATAAATAGGAAACATGCAAATAATAAAAGAGAGTTACATGCAAAAGGAACAGTGTCTGCTATTGGTTCTCAACCTGTGGGTCATGACCCCTTTGGGAGTCAAATGACCCTTTCACAGGAGTTGCCTAAGACCATCGGAAAACACATATTTTTGAAGAACACATATTTTTGCACATATGAAGTAGCAACGAAAATAATTTTATGGTTGGGGGGTCACCACAACATGAGGAACTGTATTAAAGGGTCACGGCATTAGGAAGGTTGAGAACCGCTGATGTATGTGAAGGCCCATTAGGAAAGTCAGAAAGTGGGGACTGGGGCCAGAGTTTCTGGGCAAGAGTAAAGAGAGAGACAAGACAGAGGTATATCAGAGCCAAGGAATACTGAAGGATTGGTCTCTATCCTGCAAATGGTGGACATCATTGAATATCTTGATGCAGGAGATTACCATGATATGTTTATAACACCCAAGTTATAAGTAAGAAGGATTTGTTGAGTATCTAAAAAATTATTGAATAAATGGGTATTGTGCTACCTATTTGGGTTAAGTCTAGGCCCTTCCTCATTTCTTCTATCCTACACCTTCAAGTATAGATGGGATTTGCTATGACTAGTTTGAAGGTCAAAAAGAGAGTCATTTTTATATAATTCACAAACTGTTGGAATGGTGGAGGGAGTGGAGTACCATAGAGAATAGTGTTAAGAAAAAGTAGGAAGTCATCACATAGTTAACTCTAGGCAAATAATAACACCCTAAAGGGAAACGACAGTGGTGGAAATCCTGTGCCAAGACAGACGTGAGAGGCAGTGGTGTGGCAGAAAGTGACAGTCACTGTAATGATAAGATCAAAGTGGAGGAAAATGTCATAGAGGCTCTGAGGTCTGAGAGTGGATGACAGTGAATGATGCTGAAATTTATCCTAAAGGAGGAAAAATCCAGAGAAAGTTGAAGAGTTTTCAGATTTTGTGTGTATTTATAGGAAATGTCAGTGAAATACTCAGAAACATGGGTTTAGAGAAGTTACTAGGATTAAAGATATCAATTTGCAAGTCATTAAGCAATGGTTTTATGGAAGGAGAGAGAATCACTGAGGCAATGAGGTAACAATATGAAGTAAAAGACTAAAATTAACATCTCAGTCAGTAGGAAGAAAAGAGCTGGTAGGGGGTACGGAACATAACTGGTCAGAAAGCTAAGAGGAAAACTAAGCCAGCACAGCTTGGCAAAGGGCTTTTCTAGAAGAAGAAAACTTCAGAAAGCACAGTCAAAGATTTCCAAAGCTCCAGAAAACTTTCAGAAGATGATTGAGAAGATCAGGTATTAAGGAAATTAAAATCATGATGAAGAAGTTGTAAAATAGTACAATCCGTGAAATTCAGAAATAAATAAGCAGTAAGTTTGGCCACTTCAAACTCAGCCATAAATAGTTTCCTGAGAAAACTTTCAGTTGTTGTTTATTTGGTAAAATAATGGGTGGATTTCAGTGAGGTAACAGAATTTCCAAAAGATCATCAGTAAGAAATTCACTGGGAAATATCTCCTTTTTTTCCCCCACTCGTCTTTTTCTATAATTTAGAAAACTGAAAAAGAAAATGGAGTATGCATGTAATTTTTATTCCCAGAAATTTAATATGATGTCGTGACTATATTTCTACATTGACTTAATTAATGCATTAGTTAGGCGATTTTTATTGATGTCAGCAGATATCTGTATATTTTTCAAATCACTTTATTGAAGTATGATTGATATGTGAAATGCTGTACCTATTTAACATACACAACTTGGTGAATTTGGGGATAAGCATTTACCTGTATCATCATGATCTATCAGCCATTTTATTTTATTTTTTAAGGCTAGCCAAGTGAAGCAGTGGGAGAGTGGAGAAGAAACAAATTTGTAACTGGTTGTGATCATTTAGTCGTAAATTGGACCAGTCTGTATAGGTCATTTCTCCATTACCCACCATAGTGTCAATCAGTGTTTCCGAGATTCAGTGACAATAATGTGGGCTTTCTCATTGCTCTCATACAACATAGTGAATCTGGGAATCTGGGCAAGTGAAGGTTCAGCAGAATCCTATGAGGGACAAGAGTAAATAGGTAGAGGAGGCCACTGTCGGTGTCCCTAACCCCAGTGTGGTAGTTCAGGACAAGGTTCCTGGAGAAATTGACAACAAAGCTGAGGCTTGAGTGACAAGTGGGACTCTATTCGTTTAATGCTTTACAACTTACTAAAAACCTTAGGAAGTTTCATTTAAGCTTCATATAACGCTGTAAGGTAGATATTCCTTCAATTCAATTTACATGTGAATAAAGTGAGGCCAGTAGATAGTTAGTGACCTAGCTAAGATGATACAGTTGAGACTGAGGAGACAGCTGTTCAGGCAGAGGGTATAGAGGATGTGCTGGTGCAGAAGCTGGACAGAGACCAGCCCTTGTTATGCATCCACGCCTTACCTTCTGCTGGGACTTTTCAGCTGGCATCTAACCAAGAAGCATTCTATACAGACTGTTTTGCCAGTGCTATGGCTAGGAACAGAAAGATCAGTGAGGTAAAGTCCTACCTTATAGAAAGAGAAACTAGATCATGTGAATTTAACGGGGTGAGTGCTGCCAGGTAGTATAGAAACACAAATATCGAGTGTTAGCCCAGCTTGGGTGTCAGGGGAAGCCTTTTGAGGTAGTTCGTCTGTAACCTGAGTCCTAGGCTGACAAAGATTTAAGAAAGGTGAAAAAGTTGTGACTAGTGAAAGAACAGGGAAAAGATATGAACTATAAATTCATGCCAATAAAAAAAGTGCCTGTCTTTTCAGGAAAAGAGCAGTTGAAAGAAGAAAATAGTATAGTATATTGTGTAGTAGTTTCTGTTAATTTAGTTTTCAAGACTTTCCTTTATTTACATAAAAATGATCATTAGAAGTTATTTACTAAATTGTCTTAGTAAAATATGTTAGCCATTATTGGAAATTGGTGTTCACTGGTGATAAACTTCATTTTCAATTTCTGAATGAATTGAGAATATTGCAGAGTGTGCTGTGTCTTTTAGAGTTTTTCTCGAGCTTGTTCAATTTCTCCCTTTGATGTATTTATGTACTTCCTCCTTCTATATTTGAAACAGGAGTCAGGGAAAAAGAGATATGACTTTGGTAACAAAGAGACACAACCATTATGAAGCAGAAAAAGAAGGCAAACAATTGTGGGCAAATTTTGTTTCCTAGAAATTAATTAAGATTCTCAGAAATATATTCTAACCACTCTGGGGATACAAAGGAGGGAAAGACCCAACTAGGAAAGTATTTGAATGGGGAAAGTATCAGAGCCACAGAAAATGAAATGCAAACCTGTTAATTGAAAAATCTTAGATAATTTAAATTTCCTGGGATTCTTAAGGGGATGATAGCATAAGGTTACTCATCTGTTTTCTGGGGTGGTTCATGAGGCATGGTCAGGGATTACCAGAAGCTCAGTGCCATGCTGTGCTATTTGCAATAGTTGCAAAGTTTAGATATTAGAAAAGATGGCAGTTTTTTGCTCAGTAGTCTATGGGAGCAAGGAGGGGGAGGAAACAGAACTCATTCCAGACTGTGGCCAAGTTGACAACCCTTACTTTGCTAAAACTATCTAGAAAAATGTTTTCAAGCAGAATGCAATTTTGGTGGCTGAACTCTGTCTTATTGACATACAGAGACCATACTTTCCTCATTTCTGGCCATGTTAATTGAGAGGTCATGGTCCCTGCTCCCAGCTCCTCATCACCTAAAAATAAAATTCTTCCTTACCAATTTAATGAAGATACAGCTTCTTTCAAAAGCTTTCACACTTGTTTATTTTTGGTTTGTTTGTTTTGTTTTGTTTTCTATTTTTTATATGGTAAATCAGGGTAGTTCACCCACAGAAAGGCCAAATTTCTTTAGAAGCAGCCTTAAGGATACTGCAGGTTCTGGTACCGAGAATTCTGTGGTGTTTAAACTTTCTATTTAAATAGATTTGGGAAGCAAAATGTCAACCAGAAAATCTAGCAATGCCATTGTTCTTCTGAAGCAAGTTGTGATGACAGAGGGGACCTTCTGTGACTGTATAGAGCAGAATTTTACTCTGGGTATTTTAAAAAATGTACCACACAGATTGTAC